TTTTATTGAATCTTCCGGCGAGGTATAAAAAACTTGGATTGTAAGGACATGCATTAAAGAAATTGAGTAGAGCACCTAGATGATTAATTGATCAAGGCTGGGAGTACCATATCAAGCCAGTAACGCACGGGTACTCTATGTTTTGCCAACTGAGATTTGCCATACCTACAGCCCCTTTCTCTTGTACCTAGGTCCCAGCTATTTACCTCCTTAAACACCTAGCTGTTGTGTTTCCCACAAAATTCCGTGACCCATAATCTGAGCACTTTCAGCGGGATTTATCGATAGGTAGTTCTGTCGCTAGTAACCTGAGACCAAAAATATCTGGTTCATCAAAGACACCAGGGCGCAATCACACTCTGTTGGAATATCCGAGTCCCCAAGGACTTGGCAATTATGTTTAAGGCCTATCTTAGGCCCCCCTCGATCCCAGTAGCAGGGAATCGGAAGATGCAGATCATTACTATTTCCCAAGCCTCAAGAATGCTGAAATTCAGGAAGCACATAAAGAAGCGGCAAAACACAAGCCGTCGATACCTAAGTTCATGCGGGCTTTTGTTAGAGTTAAACAACTGAGGCCTGGTATCGCACTCGTGATGATCTCCAATGGATAACATCATGATTACTTCAATTTTACTAAACTTATGGGAAAAGAAAATCGATCGCAACCTACCCTGACATCAGTCCTCTGGTTTTATATCGAACTCTCTCCCAAAATGTGACACCAGTCACAGAAGAAGTCAATTCGAATGTTATGCATGCAAGAACCGATATGGTGTTCCCGGAACTCCATCCCGGCCTAATAGATTCTCTCTCGGCAAGGTATAATACTAGTGTCCCTTGTGCCCTCGTGCTTACTCCCTTCTTTAAATGAGAAAACCGAGAAGCTAACATTTTTCTCCTAGTATTAACCCAGATAGAGTGCTCCAAGACGGGTCTTTACTCCACAGCTAGCTAGGTATGGCTACCGTTCTCGGACAATTATTTTTTGAGTTCAACCTTCAACCCCGCCGTGATATATATAACGCAGATAATATAGTGATATTACCGTGAATATTGGAATTTTTGCCAACGACCGTGTTGAGTCCTAGCCATGGGGTATGCAGCCTAGCTAGGTTGCATAGCGTCCTGTCGATTCCTCGGACTATTCTCTAGACTATGTAGGCCAAGTCTTTCTAAGGCATGCACGATGGTCTTGGGACTTTACATTGAGTGCTAGGACGGAGTAAAGTCTTGGGCAAAAAGGCTCGCAAGAACCAAGGTGCTTCAAACCCTTCTCTAATAATGACTTATTCCATGAATGTTCTTGCATATTCATCTGCAGCCCAGTTTGTACCTGAACAACCAACCATACAGCATATGAAAGTTCGAGCGCCACGCATATGCGGACTTTTCCGAAACTCCAGGTGATAAGGGCAACACATAAAGATGTCCCTACAAAGCCACCACTCAGATGAGGACGCTGGCGGGATGTTACATTCTCACTGGTTCCAATACCGAAGATCTAGGAGTCTTTATGCGGCCCAAAAGCCAAGGGTCGGTAAATATGATCATGATCGTGCTGCGTAGAAGTCTCTTGAGACTCTGGAACCGGGAAGATACTGAGTTATGTGCATGAAGCCACCTTTCATAATAAGATAATAGGTAGGAGTATTGTATCGCTGTGTTATCTAGCAAACGCGTGCGCTTGTGATCTTCAATATGGCGTCATAATAATCTGGCTCAGGGTTCCGGTCCTCTTGGCGCAACCGCGATCACGCATATCGCGTTACTTCTGAGGAAATTATCATAATTCTGGTTCCTTAAAGAAAGTGAAGGCGCAGTGGGATGCGTTTTATCATATGTATTGTCAATTAGCCATTACTAGAACAATTATTTTAACTTTTGCGGGAGGCTTAGACCTCATAAATAAATGATTTGCAAAATCCAAGTCTTTTTAGCGCCGAAGATGAAGCGGTCATCCGCGGTATATATGTGCATAGCATGATCCATGAGGCCGGCGTTTCTTGGAAATTATAATATTGGTTGTGTCCCAGTGGTATTGGCAGCGTTCAGTGCCAATGTTAGTTCACCCGGTCTTGTAACCTCAGTGACGGATTCCTATGGGCAATTCAGCTTACTAACTGTCAGTCGTGATCACCATTGTGATGGTAGTATATTATGCATACCTAATTTATAATTTATTAACCGTTTTAACCCAAAGCGCTTTAATTTACACACAGAAATACCACTGTACATCAAGGCCAGACTAATCACCATTGGATATGCGTGAATACAATTCAGATACCCGGAGCCAAGGCGTATCGAAGCATATGGAAACCAGACTTATACTCTTATACTCTGCGTCGGCCGAGCTGTATCGCGGTATTCCACGCACCCTCAAAACGGACAGAATCATAAGGTATCACTCGGTGATAGTGGTTACTTAACTTCAAGGACAATATGTCTTTTTATTCATTATATAGTCTCGCCAGGTACGTAACGGAGTGTGTGTTTAGAATCGTAGATCTTCTTATGTAAGCAAATACATCTTTATATCATGAATTAGTGATCACAATCTAGTGGGAGCATGAGGTAAACTTAAGGAGAATTGGGGGCATAGCAGCCACTGCAGTATTAACTCACTAACATAGACGACTTTCCTAGCCACTCGGACATTCAACGGTGATTGGTGGAGAGAAGGTGCGGGAGCCGGTTACTACGTTGATCTTCTCTTTTCTGCGTTAACGTGGGTGTCCGAGTGGCTAGGGAAGCCGTCTATAAGTGAGTGTATAAATGTACGTTATGAATAGCAGCAACAATCGCTGTTAAGGATCGGTTGATTGGTGTATGTGTGGAGAATGGACAAGATTGGGGATGAACTGAGTAAGAGAGGAGGAAGGGATTCAGGATGAACAAGAAGAAGAAGAAGAAGAAGAAGAAGGGTCCATAAGTGCATGTACATGTAGTCGTTTGAGACCCGTCAGGTATACGTATACGTGTAACAGCTCCCATAATTCATAGCCATTACGTACTTCACCATTTCTACCTTATGTATACAATTACAGGTGTTCCAAACGTGACACGCGCGATGCACAAAACGCATATACATGTGCTTGAGTGTGTCTAGCAAACAATTAATGAATTATTAATCGATCAGTTGAGTGTGTCTACATTCCAAGTGAACCTCATTTCAACCGAGTGATAACCGGTGATACACATTGATCATCGACGCCGTTTCATACCAACGACTTTTTACATAATGGCGGATTTCTTCTCTTTAAATCTAACTCGAATGCATATTTCGAAACCGCCTACGTAACTTCGTCCTCAGCTCATCGCTTTCAACATTCAAGCGGAGACTTCTGTGTACCATGTGTTTCAACCAGCGTTCACGTCACTTCTAGAATACCCTGAAGGCACTACCAATCATCCAACTATCACCCCAAAAAATAAACAAGTAAAGTTAAGTGGCTACTATCCAATTCTATCCAGTTTCCATACTAGCCACTTACCATATATATCCGGCGTGCACAACTGCAGCCAACAACCCATCACCTCGCATCCACCCATTATCAAACACTCACCCACATCACAAACAACCTTTCCGCCAACATGAAGATGCACGTTTCCACTACCGACACCGGTCGTCAAGTCTCTGTCCAGTACGCCCGCCACCCTGATGAGGCCGAATCCGATGAACAAATTGACATCGTCCAAACCATCCAAACTGGACAAAGCGCCCCTCCTCGCTCCAAAGGAAACACTGCCGTATAGATTAGCCCACCATCTTTTGCTCTATGAGAAATACTGACGCTTCCCAGGAGTGCTACATCCACATTCCACGTGGAGCGAATTTGAACGATTATCTCCCCGTTAAGACCGCGGATAAAAATCGGAAGGGCTGAAGTGATCAGGGTCATAGAGTTGTTGAGAGGGTAGGCCTCAGGCTTAGGAAGGCCTTGTGGGCACCCGGTTGGCAAGTCGTTGGAATTAAGGCAAGAGTGGAGGATAAAATCATTTAAGCTTTTATGTCAAGAAATTCGAAACCCACAATAAAGAGATAAATAAGCAAAAACGGTTCTCTATTAGTCTGAAAGGCATTAATTATCCTATCCTCTCTGTGAAAATAAGCCCCAATTCGTTCTTATTAGAATTCCAGATCTTCTAATATCTGAGCCACAACTATAAATTTTTTAAATACTAGAATCTCCACCATACAAACCAATGCGCAAACCAACCACCCGCAGCTGCTACAAACAATTAATGAATTATCAATCAATAAATCAATAAATCACCTGCAGTTGGTGTCCAGTTGTATCTGATCCAGGGTTAGGGTTTCCGTTCATACACCTTTCGTACACCCTTGTGGCTTCTTCTATTAAGACACCTATGCGTAGTCAGGAACCTCACCAACCTCGATGCTTTGATTCAGACTTCAAGACAATACACTCATCCATCACCCATCATCCATCCGTTCATTGGTTATATTATTACGTGACCGGAAGGCCTTACTCGGTGTATCACATCACACCTACTCGAGCTCAGAGCATGAACACACATACCTATCGTATCGATACGAGCTCACGCGATATTTATCATGAACACATAGTAGAACCCACTCATCTCCATCAGACGACGGACGCTGCTCGGTCTCCGGCGTGTGGTAGTCGACATATCTCTTGGCAACCACGGATTATTGCTACCGACCTTCCGGATGCAGAATTAGTACCGGCGGTAACTAATCCACCCAAGCCCAATGATTGGCCGAGCATGCAGTAGAGCAAGAGCTGAATAACATTCCAAACCCGCAAAGAGAATACCTACATCACTCAATCCGCAATCAAATACTTAGTTGGAATGAATAAAAGGTACATCTCCGGAAGCACGATCAGTGCCGGAGAGCCTAAAAAAAAAAAAAAGATAGCTATATAACTAGCATTCCCGGGCCCAAATTTTCATTGCACTCCTAAGTCCTTAGCATTCCATCGCCAACACCAAAATAACTGAACCAATTGATCATGGCTGCTACAGAAAACGGCATCAAGACAGCCATGGCCACCCCCGCTAGAAAGTTCTCGATACGCACCGCGACACCCGCCGACGTGCCCCGCCTCGCATCCATCGGCGCCGCCGCACTTATCGACGATGCCTTCTACAACGTGCTATACCCGCGCCGCCGCGAGTTCTACGACGACTACCTCCACTCCTGGGAGCTCAAGCTCCAGAAGGGAATCCTCTCCGACATTGTCTACCTCGCCGTCGAAACCGACATAACCGACGAGTCCACAGGGCGATCCAAGAAGGAAATCGTAGGCTGGGCCGCCTGGGAGCGCATGGGGACCTCTGCGGAAGCCGAGAGGATCCGGGCTGAGGGGCAAGGAGTACTGAAACGTATGTTTTCCGCAATGCTATGGTGTAACATACACCACCTATGTTCCCGTGCTAACTTTCCTTTCCGTAGGACTGGAGCATAGACTGTTGACACTCACGAACACCTACGTCTCCCCGCTCATTCGTTTTGTTCTGCGTACACCCGATGATCGCTCCGCCGACGCCGCGGCACTAGCGAAGCTCGAGGCTAGTCATCCAGCGTTTCTGGCGGAGATGTTTTCAGGGATATACACCGAGCACTGGCATGTTCTCATGCTTGCCGTTGACCCGAAGTGGCAGCGGAACGGGATCGGGCAGATGCTTGTACGCTGGGGTCTCGAGAGGGCGCAGAAGGAGGGCGTGTGTGTGGGGTTGGAGGCGAGCGATCCGGGGGCTCCGATGTACTTGAAGCTAGGGTTTGAGGAGATTGGGAGGTTCCACACGCCGAAGGAGGGGCTACATTTTCCTGCCTTGGGGTGGAGGCCGAGAGGGACGGAGGGGAATGATGCGGTGGTGGGTTAGGTTTGCAAATTTGGGCACCGGTGACGGATGCATTGTGCTTTTGGGTTAATCGGTTGATCAACACAAGCAAGGGGTTTTGCAATTGGCTAACAACGGCAGCCAGCGACATTTACTATGGATGTACACCACTATAAATAATGATAATTCTTTCCGGGGATTAGTTTTGTCACTGTGGGACGTCTTTTTAACTATCGTGCGGAAGAATGGCTTGGCTGGTGACTGAAATCGAGTGATATTTCGTGATCGTCACTATCAAACCGGTGCTTTTTTTTCTCGCGGACCCAAGCGGAGTGTCCGTTTCAAATTATTCATAAATCTTTCAATAACCGAGTAACCTGTAGCCACACAAAACCCCCACTTGAAAACGGGCATAGAATAGACATCATTGTAAGATTGAAATGCATTAATTGCCCTCTCTATATTTAAAAGCTTTCTACGCCCAGCAAGTTTTTATAAACCACAAATCTACCCATAGTAACAATAAGCCGCTATACCAACACAACACTATCCAGATTCCCAACAGTCCAGCCAGATTTACCAATTCCATCAACATCACAGCTTCACCACCACCACCACCACCACCACCACCAACCCCCAACAACACCACCAACAATGTCTACCAACCCCAGCACCCGCCTCGCCGACCTCCGCGCCCAAATCCAAACCCTCACCACGCAGCACGAGATCCTCCAAAGCGAGCACCTCTTCCTCGGCTCCTACATCTACACTGGCGGCACGCTCGGCACCTTCTTCAGCTACGCCGTCAGCGCCGAGAAACAGGTCTCGGACCCCAAGGAGTGGGAGGACATCCAGGCGAGGAAGAGGCAGATTGTGAAGAAGATGGAAAATATCCTTGCGGTGAGAGAGGAACTGAGGGGGAGGGAGATGGAGGTATTGGGGTTGGCATTGTGAGTGGTGTGGGGAGGGGAAAGGGGAGGTAATGGGAGAGGGCAGAGGGGCAGAGAGGCAGAAGGAAGCTAATGGGAACAGGAGGTTGCTTTTGCGTGTGTTTTGAAGAAGTAAAGACCGTGAGCACTGATAGAGTAGCGCAGCGTAATGAATTGAATTAAGTTTTACTTTGACTATCAAACACGTGAATCTAATATGTACTGCCCTTAATTCTTTCGCGCTCGGAGAAACTCTGACCCTGACGACCTGGGCAACCAGCTCACCCACCCAAAATGCCACCCCCCCCCCCCCCCCCCCAAAACGGTATATCAAATTCAACTGCGGAGACTGAATAAACCTTTAAAAGATTCTATACTGAGGGGTATTTGGTAGTATTATTAACGGCACGGGGATGTATCACTAAAACGTTCTATTAACTGGGTGATACTATCGAGAGATATATTTGGAGAAGGGTGTCAACGGAGCTCGGAGTATCAACGGCGTATAGGGGGGAGAGGTCTATTTAATGGAGGGGTTGGGGGGGCGGTCTTGGACTGGACATATATGAGCGACTACGGTCCTTCAGGAGGGGCGATAGAGACAAAAGGCCTGATACAATTAATTGGAGTAAAAGGATCAATGGATATATATCCTCACGCAAAATCAGTATCTCGCGGTCGCGAGGTAGGCTATACTACATGTAGTGTTATGTACTATTCGAGGATCACGGTGGAGGACGGAAGTATGCTACCGACTCACTAGCTAGCGCTCATGGGTTTTTAAGGGAATTCGAAAATTACCTACCATCAACCACTTCCCGTGGCCTAACAAGCTGAAGTGTCGCCCAGAGGGGCCGAGGTCGATAGCTCGAACCTCTCAGACTTGGTGGGAAAACATACACTGTGTGACTGGGTAAAGGAGCAGAGCGGGATGCCTCTCCTTTTTGCTGCTTTGGACCTTGGAACATGGAATTTCCTTTTTTTTTTTTTTTTTTTTTTTGCTCCGTTTTTTGAAACTTTGAACGACACCCACGAACTCCTCGAGGGTCGTACTAACTCATAAGATGTATTATAATGCCGATATTTCAATATAGCAGTTGCGGAGATATATATCATTAATTAGGTATTTGCACCTATGTCAGCCAAGGTCTAGGTCCAGATAATAGAATACCCCAGAACGCAGTATTTTATTTCCGTGTAGAATACCCTGCCTTGCTGGTTGCAGAGAATTTCCAACCAAGCCCATATCTAGAGGGCACGTAAATTTTTCTATCACAAAGCACAAAGAACAACTTCTTTTCGACGCGCAATGATTTTTTTCTCCTGGCTTAGAAACTAACCACTACTACGGTACCGAATCATTGTATTCCCCAAGTGCACTCCACCTCCGCCCAGCCCCCGCCCACCTGTCCCAGTAACTACGCCGAGTGAGCAGCCATGACTCTCATTCCCACCACCCACCCACCACTCCTGCCAACCCATCCACATTCCCAACACGCCAAGCCGCAACCTACCCGACTCTCCCCTACTAACCCACTAACCTACTAATCTACCCACTACCAACTCCATTCCACTCTAGTCCACTCCACATCCCAAACAAACCTCCGAAACACCGCACGCCATTGGCCCGGAGCAGACGATGTATTAAGAAATAAGACCTGCCCATCACATCACGTACATACTGGTTCACTCTGCAATCTGGATCTGAGTCTGAATGTCTGAATGATTGCCATCGCACACATCCACATCGCACGCGCAGTGCATCCCTCATCGCATGTGTATGATGATGATCCAACGCCACGATCATCATCACCCTACATAGATTAAAATAAATAAAAAAAGCTTAAATAAATAGCTCCCCGCACTAACTATACCAACGTCCACACGTCACTTCCCGCTTGGCTGGCTGGCTGGCTGGCTGGCCGCGCTGGCCGGTTTTTTTTTTTTTAACTTTTTAGATATGCCAACTAAATTCCTGATATTCGTTTCGTTTTTCGTCTCTCTACGTAACTAATCGTAACTATACTACCCTGCCCTGCCCTGCCCTGCGTACGCGTATGCTATTATATATATACCAGCCTGCCGCGCATACCTCCCCGCAAACCACGTAACTAACTCCTTGAGCTGTATCTGTATCTGCTGTATCTGCTGTATCTTTGACATGAGATGAGACAGAAAAGAAAAGAAAGAAAAATGCAACGAGTGTATCATGTAGTAGTAGTAAAAAACCCGAGATCTCAACATCATGAAGAAAAGTAGAAAAAAATGGTAGCAAAGAACCAACCAACCAACCGCCATGAAAAACTAAGAACAAAAAAATACCACACCTCACAACAAACTCCAAACAAAAAAAAAGATACTATAAAAAACGCATCAAGGGGTAACGAGAAAAAAAATAGTAAGAAAAAAAAATGCAAACGCCCGCTCACACTCCTAAATCAATTCATTAAAAAGCCAACCACATTGCTATCAAACAAAAGAGAAAAGATCGATCAATGATGCTTCTGGTGCATATAAACCACACAAGTGTACCTACGTACCACACACAGTCAGCATTCCATCCCCACGACGATCCTCACATACAAGGCAAAACAAAAAAACTCACCCAGCACAACACGAGACCTCCATCCCATGCAAACAATACGGGCACCTCGTCGCGCCCCCATTCTCCACCATGCCCCTATACATGACGCTCGGCAGATCATGCCAATACTTGCACCTACAGCAGATGACAAACAGCTTCGCAATCGGCTTCGGTGGTGTCGGCGGCCTCGACCCCGACGACCCCGCCGACCCGGACTCCAACGCGGCACCGGAGCTCTTGGGCCTCGAGAAGTAGTCCTGCTGCTGCTTGATTGTCGAGCTGCTCGATGAGTGCTTCCCCATGCTCTTTGGCTGCTCCAGCTTCTTCTTCTCGTCGCCCGAGACGCTCTCCGAGTCGATTTCGTTGCGGAGCGGGGAGCGCGATTTGCCCTTTCCTGTTGAGTCCGAGACCTGCTGCTGCTTTGAAGACGATGCCTGTGACGCGGGGAGGACCTGGAACTTCTGGTTGATGCTTCCGGCGGGCGACGATGAGCCTGAGTTCTGCTGTGAGCTGTCTGCCGAGCCCTGGCGTGAGTTTGTAGCAGCGGTGGTCTGACTATATTCAGAGCTAGCCTGGTATCCTCTGTCGCTCTCCGACTTTTCACCGTCTCTTGAGTCTGGGGGACTCAGTGGGCGTCCCTTCTTCAATTGGCTCTCCAGCAGCTGCATCTGTCTCACCGCTACATCCAGGCTCACAACATCACTGGCCGACGCAATCTTACTCGGGTCCACCACCGGCACCGGCGGCGCGCTGCTGTCCGAAGATGACGAATACCGACCACTTTCCCTCTTTGTCCTCCTCCCCTCCTTCGCCTTCTCCGCATTCCGCTCCCTTGTCGCCATCCCGCCCAGAATCCCACTGACCCCCGTGCCCTCCACCGGACTAGCCGGCGCAACAGGCGCGACACTCCCCTCCCTCAACGCAGTCTGCGACGCCCTCTTTGACGACGCCGTAGCGCTCTCCGCCGCCTTCTGCGCCCTAAACTCCTTATACTCCTGCGCATACGCACCATGCTTCGACCTCTCCCTGCTCGGCGGCCTCGTGCTGGAAAAGCTGCCCTTCCGCCTATGGATCCACCCGCCGCCATCGCCCACGCCTACCGGCGACACATCGCTCTCGCTCCCGCTGCTCAGCGCCTTCTCGTTCCGCGCCGTCGACGACGAGTTCCCACCCCCCATCATCGTCAGCTTCCACCCGCCCAGGAACGAGCTCACCGCGTCCGACTTCCTCCTCACCCGCCCCTTCGCCGGCGGCTGCTGCTCAAACTCCTCGTTCGCTGTCGGCGGCGACGGCGACGGCGTGTGCTCGGCTGACGACGGCAGCGCGATGGGCTCCTCCGCCGTTATCGCATGGCAGATATACTCTCCCTGCTGCGCGGGCTCCGCCGACTCCCCCGCTGGCGCTGGCTCGGGCTCTGGATGAAAGTACATTGACGGGCGCTTCCTATCCGGGACTGGCGGCGCCGTTGGGGACGGGAGCGACGTGGGGCGATACTTCTGGCGCCCAGAATACGTCGGCGATGCCTTTGGCTGGTGGTGCGCGGTGTTGTCATTCTTATTAATAGCATTGTTAGCAGCAGCGGCGCCCGTGGCGACGCCCGGCAGATCGAATCCAAATCCGCCAGACTGAAACGACGGTAGCGGCGGCAGGATCGGCGACCCGTTGGGCGTACGCGCCAGGATTCTTGGCGGCGGCGCCAGATCTGTCAGGTCCAGGTTCGACGGGAGCGTCTTGGATCTCGTGTGCATATTAGTAGTAGTATTATAGTTATTAGCTGGCGGCGGCGACACTGATGCGAACAGATTATTCGGGTGCTGCGCGTTGGGGATGTATGATATCTGGGGAAGAGGAGGAGGAGGAGGAAGGAGCGAAGATGAGGTCGAGGGAGGGACAGACGGGCTATTGTACGAGTCGTACGAGAAGGCCTTGAATGCGTCCCTGCCCTTCCCCCTTATAACCTGTGGGGGCGGCGATGCGTGGATTGCAGGCTGCTGGACATGCTGTACAGTCTGCGGTGTCTGTTGGACATTTGCTGGGAAGCGCTCTTGGTTCGACGACGCAGGTGGTGAGCTGTACACGGAAGATACCGATCTCGGTGATGCCCCAGGATTCTGATTCTGATTCTGCTGCTGCTGACCCTGCATCTGAACCTCCACCTGAATCTGCTTCCCCTGCCGAACCTCCGATTCGGGCGGGGGCGTCATCAGTCCCGAGTACAGCGCCGCCGGTATTGGAGGAGGATGCCCAAGGGGGAAGTCGCCCGTCTGCGCCGACCAATCGCCAGCGCGCGGTTCGCTGCCCCTCCTGCCCTGCTGGGAGGCTGGGTGAGACGCTGTCCATGCCTGGTGGCTGGCATCCGGGGGGTTGGATTTGCTCGATGAGGGCCGCGAGTATGTTGATGAGCCGGCGGATGAGGGGAGCCGCTGGTGCGCGGTGGTGAGCGATGGCGGGGGGTTCTTGCGTCGGAGCTTTTTGGGCGTCTTTTTGGGCGTGGGCGACGAAACGTCGGTGGTGGTGGGGGGAGAGAGCAGCGGTAGTGTGAGGGAGGGCATGGTTTCTTTTTTGGGGGAGGGTTTGTTTGGATGGGAGGCTGCTATTAATTGGCCGTTTTAATGGGTGCACGGTTTGCACGGGGTGCTGCTGTTAAGGGTACTGATGCTGTTGATCGATGGTGGGGATGATAGTGGTGGGAAACTGATTGAAGTGATAGTGACAGTGGTGGGATATGATACGTAGATGCCTTGTGGGTAAACGTATTCCAGATAGAATGTGGCAGGTAGTAGTTTTGGGTGGTGCGAGGCCCAAAAAATATAATTGTAATCCGCTCAGTGAAAGAGAGGGAACCTTCTGAGCAGCGGAGAACGGATTAGTTAGTATATATGTATGCCCACTTGATCACTCACTTCATCTACTCTAGCTGCAGTACCAATCTTTCGTCTCCCCAAACCAGACAAGACATGCAAAAAAAAAAAGGAAGAGACAGAAAGAACAAGGCGTGCATACGTACGGTTTTTTTTTCTCTCTCTCAGATCTCTGTTCCAGAACAACCACTCAATCAAACACGCCCAACAATGGGAGCCCTCTCTAAAATAACCCCGTCCGTGGCAATCGAGTAAAAAATCTTGAAAGCTGGGCCAGCACAGCCGGGAATGGAAAGGTGTCGGGAGCGTGGTAGTGGTGGAGCTAGATGGATGCTTCCAAAGCGAGAGAGTAAGAGTGAGAGAAAAGAGAGCGGGATGAAGGTTAAGGATTCAGATGTCGTGGCGGGATAAATCAGTGGAGCGAGCGAGCGAGAGGGTGTGACGGCCAGTAAACTACTACAGACAGTACAAGTAGAGTACAGTGTCCAAGCACAAGAAACCCCACAGAGATAGTAGTATGGGAAGTGAAGCAGGAAGTGCAAAAATAAATTTCACTTTAGTTGAGAGAGGGCTGGGCAGCTGAGATATGATTTGGAAGGGGAAGACGGGGAAAGAAACGTGAAAAAGACGAAAAAGAAAAAAAAGGAAGAAGCAGCGGTGAAGGTGGATAAGATGGCCACTCTAGAGTACAATGCAAAGTGAGGGAAGAATAGGGAATGGATCCGGCCGGCACAGCAGTCGAATGGCTGTTGTTGGTTGAGTGGATTTGATTAATTAAGGAAGCAAGCAGCAGCAACACGAGCAGGAGCAGCAGTTTAGGTATGTACAATTGTACAACACAACAGCAGCCAGTGCAGTGTAACGATTGAAATATGGACAGTTTATCCTGACTCTTTTTTTTTTTTTTTCTTTTCGTGCTGCAGTAGTAGGACGTAGTAAGGTAACGGGGTAATAGTACAAGTACCAGTGCTGTGGTATGTAAGGATAAGCCAGGAATCAATCCTAGCCTTGCTTGAATGGAATGACTGAAGCGTCAAGGAAGGAAGAAAGAAGAAGCACTACTGGGAAGGATGCTGTCATGTAGGCACGCAGCAGCAGCACAGGGCTTATAAGTATATGTCTCTTCCCATGAACTACATACATGTATTATCACCCTCTCCTCCTCCCCCCTCTCGGCCTCCTTCTCTAAACGAATGCAACACCATGTAGTTTCTCCTGGCCTGAGTAACGAAACTTCGCTTCCCCGCCTAACCAAGTATGTAGCTGCTACATGTATGTAGTAATAGAATTGATTAAATATAGCACCTGTCTGGCAGGCTGGCTGCCCTGGGCAGGTGATCCGCGGTATGGATCAGTTCTACACTGTTGTTTGGTTGCCTCTAATCTACCCAACACCGTACCTGAACTCTATCTGATCTGGCCTGTATGTAGCCTCTACCTCTGGGCGGTTGCATGCCCATGTAGCACTCGGGCTATATGACGGTACGATTATACATTGAAATTTCCCGTGTCTTGGGTACAGGATACTTGAAGGCGGCAGCGGTCTGCCTGATTGGCTGACAGCCAGGGGTGGTTGTTGAAGGGGGTGGATTGGGTTGTGTTCCTGTTCCTGGAGGCGCCTTCTTCGCTACTCCAGTGGGCAGAGGAGGTAGAGTACATAGAGTCTCGTACCACAGTGAACCCACCCCTGCCTTCTTGTCTCTCGTCTTCGTTTCCCCAGCGTCATCATGCCTCTACATGGCACTCTGCTCTGGGTAGAGTAAGTACATGTAGGTACATGTAGCTACTCCAGAGCAGAGTAGAGTACCTACATAGAGAGATACCTAGAGTACCTACACCAAAGTACTACTCCTCGTATGCACCCCCCACTGAAGAGCTCAATTGGCCACATCGAGCGTCCTCTTTCCCCCGATCTGGTCCCGGCAATCGTTTATCGTCCTTCTCGTGATTACATGTACGTTCTGCATCTCGAATTCGCCATGTTCCTCCCTCCCTCGCCTCCAGATAGATAACCTCCTCTTCCCTCCCCCAGCCCAACCACTCCAACCCCAACATCACCACCACCACCACCACCACCATCTACAGACACAAGATAACGAATCTCCCCTCCCACCGTCCGATGTGCATGTCCAAACCTGCCCGACAGCCTCCAAGACACCCTCACCAGACCCGGCAACAAGACGCGAGTGGAGCCTCCCTCTCTCTCTCTCACTCGCTCTAGTCCGGATCTGACCGTCTGCATGCAGGTGGAACATCGCGCCATGCACGTGCGATCCACCCACCTTATTTATAAATAGCACGGGCCAATGCCGCTGCCGCTAAAAACACTACTTTTTTTGTTTGTGTGCCTGGCACTGGTACTTGTGATGGTGGTGGTGGCTGCTCCCAAAACTGGTTTCCCCACGGTACCCCCCGAACAAGTATCGACATGTAACTACGTGTCAGTAAGTAGTAATGAGTGGGCAGGGTGTAAGTGGCTGCTGCCGCGTTTGCCGAGACTGGCCCACTGTAGGTAGTAGTAGTAGTAGGTACTCTAGAAGTGTTCCTGTCGCCCGGAGATTTCTCGCAGACAGAACAGGACTTTCTGCACCGCCGATTCAATGTACCCTAATCTCCAAAGCCCTCCTCCCCCTCCTCCTCCACGATGTATGTCCCCTTTAGCTCCATCTGTAGAACAAAACACTAGCTCTCACGATCGTACATACTCCACCATCCTCACGAAACCACCGGCACGGCACGCCCATCCACCAAATCGGAATCAAGCAACACAGTTACCCAGAGTACCCCAAAGTACTAGCACTCTATTCTACTAGTACCACCATGCATAGAAAACAAGCGAAGCCCCAGACCCTTCTCGTCAACAGTATTGACGGCTACCACCGAGCCCCCCCAGTTCCCAAGCTCCCAAGCCATCCCCCCAACTGGCCACCCACTCACACTCACTCCCACTCCCTTCAAATTCCACGTGCATCTGTTCCCGGTCCTCACCTCTACTCCATGACGATACTTGATCCAGAGGGGACCAAAGTAGAGTAGGTAGGTAGGTAGGTAGGCAGCTACAGTAGGTATGAGCTGTAAAAACTCTTGGAACCGTCTCACCTGTCCGTCCCCCCCCCCCACGGTAAAAAGATATTCCGCAAGATTTTTTTTTTTTTTTTTTTTTTTCCGGTTGGCTGCTGCAGCTAGCACGCTAGAGTTGCAGTCATGAGATATCACTCGCTTCCTATTGGGTGCCGGCCCATCACCTGCGCTGCGCTGAGATCGATTCACCCACACTCTTGTAGCTACATGTAGTTAGTTAGAGTAAGTTGATCGATCGGGTATTTGTGGGAGAAGAAGAAAAGAGAGCGCTGCCTGGCGGCTTAATTAGGCACAAGTCCAGAAGAGAAGGCTGCGGTGCGGTGCTCTCTATCTGGCGCAGGTTTCATAGATAGGAATATTATAATATGTCATGTAGGTACCACAGCACACACAACACCACACTACACCCTAGCTAGACAAGCTGGGAAGGCACAGAGTATTCTCGCTGAAACCTGGGTGGTGTCATAGATAGAGTGCTAGGAAGGTGCCTGTGTCAAACCCAACCCAAACCCCAGATAGATATTCTGTGCTACGATGTTATGTAGTATCTACAGGGTTTTCTCTTTGTCTTGTTCAAGGGAGGGAGTGAGTGAGTGAGTGCGCACAGAATTGAATCAAATCAAATCAAATCAAACATCAATCGCTCACTTTCACTCAAACACTCACTTCACCCACCATCCCAGCCGCAGCGCAGTACAGTGCTTCCACAAACTCCATTGATTTCTCAATTGCAAATTGCTAACAATACATCATCATACACCCCACCGACCAACACACAAAAAACACAGCCAAAAAGAGAAAAAAAAGAAATAAAACAAAAAAAACTAATCCTTATTCACAATCTGGACCTTGATCGCCCCGCTCTTCATGTCTGCACTAGTCTTAAACGCCTCGACCGCATCCTCAATCGAAAACCTGTGCGTCACCAGCTTCCTAATATTGGCCAGCACGCCACTATCCACCAGCCTGATGGCGCGGGGCCAAGTGTTGCAGTACCTGTACTGGAACTTCAGGTCCACCTCGCGCGTGCTCAACCTCATGAACGGGAACTTCATCTCGTTCTTGCCCACGCCGACGACAAACACCGTCCCGCCAAATTTCACCGCGTGGATCGCAGCACCAATCGACGACTCCACACCAGTGCACTCCAGCGCGACATCCGGCTCCATTCCAAGCGCCTGCTTCACCCCCTCAGCCAGCTCCTCCTCGGTCTTCCCGCGGGTCACAAGGTATGTCTGAAGCACGCCGGGGCTGTCTGCGACAAGCGTCTTCGCAAAGTCCAATCGCCCCTGGTCGATATCGGTGATGACGATGGGCTCCGCGCCGGCAGCCCTCGCGCACAACAAAGTGATAAGGCCAATGGGACCGGCACCGCAGATGAGGACCGAGTCACCGAGCTTGACCTGGGCGCGGTCGATGGCGGCGAGCGCGACAGACAGAGGCTCGAGCAGTGCGCCGTCCTCATAGGACATGGTCTGGGGGAGCTTGTGGCACCATTTGGCGGGGTGGTTGACGTAGCGGCGGAGGAGACCGGGGACTGGAGGAGTACTGAGGAAAAGCACGTGCTCGCATCCATTGTAGCGGCCGGTAAGGCATGGTTCGCAGGAGTGGCAGGGAATGTTGGGCTCAACGGCGACGCGGTCACCAGGCTGGAGGTGCTTGACAGAGGGGTGGACAGCAATGATCTGTAGCGGCGATATCGGGTTAACATGCTAATTCCATGAGGGGGGGTAGGAACAGTATCCGGTATATCTTACCTCGCCCGCGGACTCGTGGCCGAGAATGTGTTTGTCTTCAACGATCATTGGACCGATGCATCCTGCGTGCCAGAAGTGAACATCAGAGCTTCGGGGGTGTCAGTACAATTCCTAATTCACAAATTCACAATCATGAACAAGATTACTCACCCGCAAATACCGGTGCTTCGGACCTGGATAACAACTTCGCCGGGCTCGAGAGTGTCGCCTTTCTGAATCTCCTCTACGGACGGTGTTGCTTCCGCGATGTAGAGGTTGTGCTGGGGATCAGTGTACACACCGATATTCGGCTTAAGGCTCGACTTGACGGCCTGAGTGGCAGCTTGTGTTGCGGCAACCATATTGGATGTGGTTTCCGTTTCTGCGGGTGAGGATTTGTTTGAAGGTTGTCGTTTGAATCTATTCTGCAACGTACGATGTCAGAATATATATATGATAACTCGGATCCTGCGACTATTGCCTATGGTCACACGGCCAACAACAATGAGGGGAAAGAGAAAAAAGAAACGAAATAGAGAAAGGGAAGAAAAAAACTCGTACCACAAAGTCCGCAAAGGTTTTGAGTATGCAAGCCAGCCTGAAGATTTCTCAGAAATGTCAAGTCGTTATATAAAAAAGCTTCACAATGATATCTACCTCAACATCAACTCTCAGGGAGAGATAGTAGCCCTTTTATGCTCGGTCTATTTCCCCTCCATTACTCCGCTCCCTCCCCCCCACTCGCAACGGTAAATCTTTTTCCCATATCCCGACATCAATTGGAGAGAATCGAAACGAGGGAACGAAAAGTGAAGCAGAGCTAGCTAGGATTACCGCAAGCGTTGGAACTGTCTCCGGGAAATTTCAGATTAAAAACATCCAGCATTCGGTAAAGCTTTATCCATTCTGACGATAGCATCTCTGCCCCATCTCCGAGTTGAGATGCACATTTTTTTCTCAACTCCTGTCTGTATGCTATGCTTACGGGAAACCCCACATTATGGGATTAAGCGGGGTGTTTAGATGGTTGGTCGTTCAGGGTCCCTATTAGGCTAAATGGCGTAGCGATGCTTGCACCCCCCGATCCCCCGACCCCCCGAACCCCGGAGCTACCAATTCTCATAAGGACGACCAAAAGAAGTGGCGGCTGAATTGATATTGGAGTTGAGCCACGAGGTTTTAAGAAGTACCCGGGTAATTGGAGTTTTTCTGAGGTGTTTCGCTTGGTGATTCCGAGTGTGGAGATTTTCCGTTAAAAGCCAATGATCAGCTGTTGAGCCGAGGGACTAGCTTCATGGTATGCTACTGCTATGTACTAGCTTGGGTACAAGGAACGTGGGCAGTAGCAAAGCTTTTTAATCTCTTTAAGCTCAGGTTGAATTTATCCAGCGCGATGAGATGTCGATGCGATTGAATTCCACCTTCCGCTAAGCTTTGTTGAATTCAACCGCCAGATACCTATGGGCCGGGCTTTTGTCGGCCTGAAAGGATATCACGATCCTTCTCTCTTTCTTTCTTTCACTTTCCTTGTCCGAGGGCGGCAGTTTCGACGGATGATTATGATTTCCACAATGTGGTGTTTTCACTTTCAGATCGATTGAAGGTTTCCATTTAGCCAAATCTAAGAGTTGGGTTTGGAATTCGCGGTTTCAGTTGTCGGTAGATATTGTAGCTAGGTGTATGCCTATCAAACTTGGTTGAAATGTTATGGATCCTTATCATAGTCATAACCTCTAGTAGTAGTCAATACACCATTTGATGATCAGTAATCAGTCCAGTTAGCTTAGACGTGGATCACTTGCTGTTGTAGGTAATTGAGACGTTGAAGGACGATATAAACAAGTGAAAGGAAGGGAGGATTCCGATTGGAGTACCTTTATCACAACGGATTCTTTGTGACACATATGTTTCTTTAAAGCTCTACTAAGTAGGTATAGACACGTATGCCTCTTCTAGCCTTCTCTCTGTTCCACAAATCAACATAGCAAGCAGGTCAAGATATGTGTGACAGAGCATATAATATTCGTCTGCTACTATTTCGAAGCACCCGTAGATTCAGAATCCATCCATCCAGCCAGCCAAGCGGGATGAATTAGTGCGAATACCTTCCCCCGTCTCGATTCCCGGGAACGTCTTGCCACCTGCATGTAGAGCATCCCCGTGCCCGCGGATAAACTCACGCTTCAGCATCCTCAGTTAACCCCATCTCTGGGACGCCCCGGAAAAACCATGCGGTGGGCTAGCTAGCTAGGGCCCGTATATAGTCAGCGATGCATTGGGTGTCAACCTCGGCCGAGCATGTTACAGCGCAGCGGGCCACAAAGTGCAAAACCCCTGGGTGAGTAGGGGTAGACGGACGTTGAGATGTAGCTAGAGCGCTGTCAAACGAAACGAAACGAAACAGTGAGGATCCTCAGAGCTAGAGCCAGAGGGATGATATACTGCAATTATATAGTATATTGGTTACAAGGCAGGGGTGGTGGTCAGCTGCTGTCTTAGATGAGAGAATGCACTGACCTGGTTGGCTGGTTGGCTGGCTGGGGACCTCACTCATGCTCACCGCGCCGTCTTTACTCTGGTCTCCCTGCTTAGAGCATAGCAGAGGATGCATATGCTACGACATGCACTTGTCGCAGTGAGTGATACCTCATGAAAGCAACCCTAGCCCACCACCACTCCACCTCCACCTCCACCGCAAGCAATCACCAGACTGTTGCAGCTGCTGTCCGCGCAAAGCTACTGGGCGCCGACGCCACAGCTTTATCAAGCAGAAAGCAGGCTTTTGAGATTAACCGCCACTCGCCCCCCCCCCAGAGCTGCACCTCGCCCACTCCCTCACTCACCCACTCCCTCGCCCACTCACCCACTCCCTCGCCCACTCCCTCGCTCGCCCACCCCGCGTGCGTCGTCGTCGTCGTCCTCGTCCTCGTCCTGGGGTCGGGATGTCACACGATCAATTGTCAAAGAAAAGAAACCGGCGCGCGAAAGGCAAAAGGTCCCAACGGCCAAGCTAGCTGCAAATGGGCGATTCTTACATGTAGACTTAGCTTACGAGCATGATCGCTCATCGTCCATCCTTAGACATCATACTTACTCTACACCATACATCATCGATCCATACTACTGCCACTTACTACTGCTAAAGCTCATGCTCGGGCCCAAGCTCTCCCTGCTCCCCATTCACACAGTGATAGCTACATAGCTCTAGCTAAGCAGTTAGTACCAAACATCCCATAATGGCCCAAGGAATCGTCTATACGTACGTACTGTAATACCCACCTTCCTTTATCCCCCTTATCCCTAGCTAACCCCCCCCACTACACAGACTAGGCATCATCATCGCCATTCTCCTCCTCCTGATCTTCCTCCGCTCCATGCTCCTCCGCCGCCAGCGTCTCGCCGTCGCAACACTCTCCCACCCCCCGCAACGGCGCCCCCCACACCCCGTCCCAGACGCAGGAATGGATGTCGCCCGGTAAGCCCACCCCCCCCCCCCAAAAAAAAAAACCCACACCTCCGCGGGAAGACTAACGAACAAGCGGTAACTAGTCCCGAACCGGCGGTTACATCCCCCCACCTCCGCGCCTACCGCCGCCCCCACGACGAGCAGCTGCCGCTGTACGAAGCGCCGCCGCCCGACTACGACATGGTTCCCAAGTATGTAGATCTTGAGCGTGGTGGTGGTGGTGGTGGTGGTGGTGGTGGTGGTGGGGCGCGCGGTGGGGACGTTGGCGAGTCGTCGGCATCGGCATCGGCGTCGGCGGCGCCGCCCCCGGGGTATGCGCTGGAGGGTGATAGTGCGCCGGGAGCGGCGCCGGTGAATGTGCCGGCTGCAGCAGCTGCAGAAGCGCCTAGTAGAGGAGGGCTATTTAATGTTGATGTGAGGAGGGCTTGGGGTGGGTTTGGGAGGTAACGTGGAAAAGGGCCCCGGGGGGGGGGGGGGGGGGTCGCGGGTTGTGGGGGTTTCTTCTGCTTTTTTTTTCGTTTTATTAGAGGGTTTTAGCTGCACAATTTGGACAGAAACTCGAGCATTTGGACAGAAAACTCCTGCACTTCCTATTGGTTGCAGGAGTTTCTGTCCAAACTACTCGAGTTTCTGTCCAAATTGTGCAGATAAAATCCCTCTATTCCCCTTCTCTCTTTTCTCGTTCAGGTCTCTCTCTGCGTTGGGTATATGGGTTAGGGTATGGGATGGTGTTTTTTCTTCGTTTTTTTTATGGTGCATTTTCTTGTTTGTTTAACTTGGGTGTTTTAGGCATGATCATGCTGGCTAGTTATTGTCTCTTCCTTCTTTCTCTTCCTTCTTTCTCTTCCTTCTTTCTCTCTTCTCTCTTCATTCCTCTCTTCATTCCTCTCTTTCACTAGTATGCCTTACCTTGTATCATGCTCATGCTATGCCTATATACATCCCATAGCTGTCACGGCGGTCTTTTTCTACCGATGTCTGGAGTGTCTATAACAGTAACAGTAGTTCTAGTTCTAGTTAATAGTATGTAAATCTAACACCTATTCTCTCTCTACCTCTCTCTACCCCGCTTTCATCTATCTCTATCTCTAGACCTTATTCATACTTTTTTACATTTGCTCCCGTTTGCCTGTATGTTGAGTGGAAGTCAGACAGTATCACAGACACCTGCAGCATCCCGCGTGCAAAGAGACGAAAAAACGGCAGGCACTGTTGTTTGCAGCCTGTGGCTGCGGCGCTGCAAACGGATTTGTGCGAGGGTCTGCCTCGGGCTATCTATGCCAGTTCGAAGCCTAAATGCCATCCTATGAGGTGCCGCAATGTTAAACAGTACATACACTCGCTCACCCAGTGACATGACGTTGGTGGTATTTGCAGTCATTTGGCATTAGCGTCACAGATTAAAAGCCAACTCTACCATTGGCCCCCAAATTCCTGCTGCCTTCACCCCGTGAGTGTGGGTGAGTGGGTGTGAGTGAGTGAGTGTAGGTACATCCTCCCCGTCTGGGGAAATTCAAAAGAGATTAGGATGAGGATCGCGGTGACGAAAGTGTAAATATTGCTTCCGAAAGCTATTTTTTCCGAAAACGTGGGGTGGGAGGTGCACACAAGGCGAGAGATTGCTGATAAGCCTGTATGAGTACAGTCTCTCATGTAGTGACGGCGGATCCTGTCTGGTGGTTATGTTTACAGTAATTTAGCCTTGGCGGTCCAAAGTTCTCTCTGCTATTGGCCCTCAAATCCCTGGCCGCCATCAGACAGGATCCGCCTTCACCCCGTGAGTGAGTGTACCGCCAAAACTCGATAAATTGGCTATGTAGCTGGCTCTCGTGAGATCAAAGTTACTTCTCTGGGGAACTTGTGATGCAGATCGATGATCACTTGAGAGATAATCCCTGGACGCGACGGAGATGGCGAGGTTTGGCGGTACTGCGGGGGAGATAGATGTGGTTCTGGGATGGCAGCTAGTCATTTCGTGGAGAATGTAGAGTATGTACATAGTTCGGTTGGGGAAGTGCATACAAGGCCTTATAAGACAGATGATATCGATAAACCTACATGAGACAGCTGGTATAAACCTACGAGGTAATGAATGAGCTGTGCCTTGGGGAGTTACTCATAGACGTTGTAGGGAGAGCTGAGGCTAGCTGTCTTCTGCTAGTGCCTAACCTTAATGGCACGCTAGGATTCCTCTCCTCAAAAATACTGAACCAACTCAAATTCATCTGTCCCATTTTATCCTCTGCCATCCTACTTAGCTTCATCGCACATTTAGGAAACAATCAATGAATTATAAATCAATATTCATCGCACATCTATATGCGTCCTTCGTTTCATGGCCGTCTCGAACTAGGTTTGATCCCATCACCTGCTAGTTTGTGCTGCACTTTTTCAACCGACATTTCTCATAAATATAACCCAATTGCCATCTGTCCGAACTATCACGGTGTCTAGGTAGGTGGAGACGTCCATCTCTGGTATCGAAAGATGTACATCTTCTCCAGGGACACCTCCGGGTTCGTGAGTGCCCAAGGCATCGCTGGGAATGCCGCTTCCCGTGATGTCAAATTAGCCCGAAAATCTTCCCAAATTAGACAATTCCGGATAACACTTGATAGCAGTAACTATTTACAGGAACATGGATTCCACTGCGCGTCAGTGGTATGCTGGCCAATAATAGTTATCGCAGTTGCAATTGTCGGGACGTGCCAAGGCCAAGGCAATAATAACTACAATCAATACCTGGTATCGAATGTACCCACCCCTCTACTCTATTCTAACGACTGACCGAGTTGATTGTGATCGTTCCTGGAGCCATTGCTGCATGTGCCTATTCTTCTGAAGAGTTTTTACCCCTGGATCTTCGTTGAGGGCCCTTTCCCCAACTTTATTGTCGGGGAAATATCTGGGGTAACGTTCCTACATTTGGCTTGGCGCTCCATGAATAGCACCATGTTCCGGTATCACCATCATGAACACCCTCGACACACCTTTTAGAAAAACACCATTTACTATGATATCATAGCTATATTTATGTGGGTCTTCTTATCTTCGGTCGCAAGCCTTTGTTATCTCTCAGGTAGTCCATAGACCTCAGTGCCGGTGAAGGTGCCGGTTCCTACTAGTAAAACGGAGGTCAACATACTACCCCGTTCACTAAATAGCCACCTGAGGAGAATATCTAGAGTCATGAGAGATGATTTCTGATCAGGATATTTTATTATATTCTCTAAATAATAATGCCTAAATAAGGCGATACCGGTACACTTGTGGTCATGTTACTAAGCCTCAAACGTTCAAATTTATGAACATACTTCAACGATTACATATGTCGACATTCCTAGCGTCGACTAAACCATAATGGTACCGGACGCCCTGCTTCTATTAAGGGTATAGTTGTGTGTATTGGAGTATATGGGATCCTTTGTGGTTGCTGTGGCCCGTGAGACTTTGTGTGAGTGAGAGCCGGTGAAGAGCGCCCTTTTTCCGGGCCGGTGAACCCAACACCACCGCCATGGAGCTTCACCGCTGCCGCCAGCTGCCGAACAGAAGAGCAAAAAACACCACAGGATAGATCAAACACAACGAATCAAGTGATCCTTACACACCACGATAGAACTGAACCAGACGAGAAAAGGCATGGGCTGTTGTAGCACTACTGACTGACCCACAGCCTCGCCGCTTCCGGTTGAGAGAGGCGTGGTTGCTGTATTTGCATTTTTTTGGTTTATATCAATGGTCATGCATACCGAGGGGGAACACAGTTTATCTCTCCCCTTCTCCCCCCTTCCTTTCCCCAAACATACCGTACTTTCTTTTTGCCCAACCGCTTCACTGCAGTCCCTCATTATCGTCCGGGCCTTCTTTTTATGGAGTTTTCTCGGGTTTGACTTCACACTCTGTCGACTCCTCCTTCTCTTCTACCGTACCGGTTGTTTATTGTATAAGAGGACAGGATCCTCTTGAGTGAATTCCTAGTGAATTCTTTTTGTGTCCGTTTGTTCATTTATTTTCTGTTATTTCCTTTTATTCTCTTAGGCACTCCCGCCAGCTGCCTCCTCTAATATCTACCTTTCACACACCTCCAATATACCTACTCAAAAAAAATCCTCCATATACCCATCCACCATGACGCTCGCCCGCGCATCCACTCTGCACCCCAAGCCCCTCCCCATGGGCCCACCTCCACCTATACCAACATCCTCAGATGCCCCCGAACCAACCCTCATCTTCCGCACCGGCAAGTCCATCCGCCGGGCCTTCACCACCCGCCGCAGCAGCCCGCAGTCCGCTGAGCGCCGAAAGCGCTCCCAGAGCGCCCGTATAGAAATGATAGGGAACCCCGTACTGCACCAAGACGAAGAAGGAAAGACACTGAAATCACTGGCCAAGATGGGCGTCCACCTTGATGACGACTTTATGCCCGGAGCTGCTGGAGCTGGAACTGCGGTGCCAGCGGGCGGTGAAGCTGCTGCTGCACAACCACTGGCGCTGAGGAAAACCTTAACCATTCAGCGGAAGCCTGTGCCCCGGCATTCGGCGGCACCGAAGGAGCCGGTCATCGTGGAGGAGACGATAGCTGAAGAGCCGGAGCCGGAGGCAGAGTCGGTCAGTGATGAGGAGCGCAAGAATGCGAATCTTACAACCAAGCGAGATAAGCGGCGAGGGTTTGTCTATTATGGGGTGGAGACGGAAGAAGAGATTGAGGCTTCGCGGCCACCTCCGCATGTCATGGATTGGAAGCTCCATAATGTTGAGGAGGAGGACGAGGACGCGGATGAGGAGGAGGACGAGGAGGAGGAGGAAGATGAGGATGATATGTGTGGGCAGGAAAGCCCTGTTAGTAGCAGCTGTGCACATGAGGCGGACCCTGTTGACTCGATACGGTGGAGCTTTTTGGCGCCGTCGAGTGTGGTGAAGCAGGATACTCTGTGCCTGAAAGTAGTTGAAGAGAAGGAACCAGTTGAAGAGAGTGAAATAGTCGAAGAGAGGGAAGCAGTCGAAGAGAATGAGGCAGTTGAAGAGCGGGAAGCAATCGGTGAAGAGGAAGAATTCTCAGACGATAGTTCTGAGGGTGAGGACGTGAAGGAGATGCGACGAGAACTGGAGTCTGTTGAGAACCTACTCGGAAGCATAACTGCATCCTTCGCCCAAGGCCCGAGCCAGCAGGGGCTGGCGCCGCCAGTAAGGAATGGCAGTCTAAAGTCTCGGTTTACGGAGTCTCGTGAAGACCTCCAAGATAATACGAGAGCCTCCAGTTCAAATTCCCGATATGACGAGGAATCACCGACGTTGGGTCATTGCCCGACGTTAAACATTATCAAGCGTATTGAGGTTGCACGGAACAACATGGGCAAGAGCGCCGATACCATCGAGAGTATGGAGAAGGCGATAAGTAGGACCGAAGACATGATTGTCAAGATCAAAGCACAAACAGGATACGGACAAAAGTCAGGTCTTAACAAGCCTGAGCCCCTCCAAACGGCAGAGCCTGCGAGAAGGCCGCCATTTACCTGCACCGCTGAAGGTCCAGAAGAGTCCTTACGGGCAGTCCTTTCATCACCTACTTCACGCAAATCCTTCTCCGACTATCTAGACACTACAGGTAACAGCAACAACAAGCGTGACTCCAATATCCTCCGGCTCTGGCTTGCAGCAAGGGCACATTCGGCCGCGCTCCAATTTGCGGAACAGCTCGCAGAGGAGATCAAGTCGACGTGCTGCCAAGAATTCCCCGATATCTTGGAGCCTACGCAGAACGTCGAGGTTTCTAAGATTGAGGATAAGGTCTTCAAGGAGATGTTGCACAAGGAGTTCCCTGAGTTCCGCCGCCACTCTCAGATGCTACCAAAGGAGGTGCAAGATAGTCTTGATAAGCTTGTTGCCTCGCCAGCATTAGTACCGGAAGTACCGGAGGTGGTTGAGTCTGAGAAAAAGTCGCTTTCGATCATTGACAACCCTGTAGTTGAGCAGGAACAGCAGCCCGAACAGAAGCAGCGAAATCATTATCCGGTCTCCGCCGACAAGGCTGTGATAGATTCTAAGAAAGAGGTTATGTTAGACTCTCTCATTAAGCCGGTTCCTTCTACAGGGCCGGCCCCTATTATGAAGGTTTCCGGCGGACAACAAAGGAAGATTCAGTTGAGCGCATCCAAGCATCGTTCTTTCCACGCCGTTCAATCATTCAAGGTGGATGAAGCCGCGGATCAGATCCCTGAACTCCCAAAGATTCCCCTGGCATATAGGAATTCGGCCCCTAGTACTGTTAATATGCCTGTCCTTAAATCGGCGGTTGCTGTTGTTGAGCAGGCTGGGGTTGTGGAAACAGCAGAAGCTTGTACAGCTGCTATTGCTGACACTCCCGCGCTCAATATCCAGCAAAATGCGGGCAAGAAGACACTGGCGGACATCGTCAGGAACGAGATTATGGATAAAGCCGAGTCAACACCTGAAATAGAGAAGTTTGACTTGGCCGCTATGGGTATTGTGAAGAGAAATCGTGCTGCACTCATGCAGAGAATGGCAGCTTTGGAGGGCGCGAAGGTTTAGTTTGATATTCTTTTGTTTTATTTTACTTTTTTATGCTTTGGATGACAGCGGCAAACATTTATTATACTGGGATTTGGGTCTTTTTCTTTCTGTTTTTTCTTTTCTTTCATTTTTTGGAGTATTATGGTGCTTATGACTTTTGGGATTATTTTACCCACCTTCCTCTCGTTTAGTTTCAACCTTTTTTTTTATTCCTCTCTCTTCTTTTTTTCTTTTTTTTTTTCTCTTCATTTTTGTTTCTACCCCCACCTCGACTCTTCTTTTGACATGGGCAGGCTTGAGATGTTAGATTTCATGTTCCTCGGATAGGGTAGATATATATATATGAGCAAAGTACTAGAAAAAACCTCCTAGCTTTTTAGGCGGCCGTCTAAATTATGCCATTCAGGGTCCAGCGCTCCCCCTAGATCATGAAAGGTTTTGTAATCATCCGCTTTGAGCCTACTAGTTTGCCTTGCAATTTTTCCATTCCGGGGCTGCTGCTTATTCCTGCCGACGGTGACGACATCGGAGGGAATTCGCATGGCTAGAGAGCGCAAAGAGGTGAATAGCATAATTTTTGTCTAGAAAGATCAGCGCAGATGTATGGTATCAAACAGTCAGAGACGGCGCGGTGAGTAATAAAGAATTCATGTCACTTTGAGCAAGACTTATGACAAAGATGACAACGTCTATGAACTTTATTCGAATGACTCGCTGACGGGCCCAATGGTAGTCCAAAGTGTCATTTCCTTCCTAAAAATAACTACTTAGATTTCAATCAATCGAATCGTAAAAGCGTAAACACTTTATAGATGAATTGTGCGGCGTTAGGTATCTATTGAAGAGATCCATACCAAACGAATAAATTAATAAGACCCCATACCACAATCGCAAGGAGCTAGGCCCACTACGGACCGTAATAGTTATCAACCGCAATCCCAACTACAATAGTAGATTATTAGTTTAAACGACAAATAGCACAGTCAGACACAGACATATATTAATAACGCACGTAATGTAACTTACCAGAAACATATGTTTATTGATGTCCGCTCCCCTCAACTCCCAAACCCCCACTATCCCTTGATCGCCGCACTCTATTTGGGAACCCGCGCGATCTCATCAAACGTCGCTGGATGGGGTTAGATAAGCCAAACAGGATAAAAAAAAACAGGAATAGATCCCGGGTTTCCTGAAGATCTGATGATGACGGGTAGTGAGTGCAACGACAATTAAGCAGGGACAGCTAGCTTTTCCCTGGATAAGGGATTGAGGTTGTCGTTTTCATGAAGAGATGTCAAATGGCATCACCACCACCAACAACACTCGACGCATGGAAATGATAAAGCTTCCGGAAAATTTCTCTCCACCCTTTTAACTAGGCCAATTTAGAATAATTGCGCACAGTCCCAGTTGCTATTTCATCTGGCCTGCTTAAGTGGCTTACATAAAGTTTAGAGCCGCATATGTAGAGCCGCGCATTTAGAGTTACACGCACAGATTTTCATCCGTGCGCGACGGGACGCACGCCTTATCGTTATCTATGATAACAAAAAAAAAAAAAGGCCCCTCCATCCATCCAATCCATCCCCATCCAGATCTGTTCTAAATAACATTATTTTTTATCATTGTCGTGGTGCGGAAGGGGAGGAGGGGGGTGCGCCGTTTCATATCCTCCTCGGAAGTGAGTTTTCTTTTTTGGCATCATACATTGCCGTGACAGGAACATATCACAAAATATCACTCGCTGTTCTGTCCGAGAAGAGATATATCAGCCTAACTGCTCTAGTTGTCTCTCAGCAGCCAGGTAACTTTTGTAGATATCACATATATCTCGCGGGGTCACGTCCTGAAACCTGCCAGCTCCCTCATCTGCAAGAGAGGGAGAGGAAGGCCGGCGAGGAAGGGAGATAGTTGTGATCATCACCCGTTACCCCCCCTCCCTCATCATCATCATCATCACCTCCCATGCGGCGCGCGCACAGAAACTTGGTGGTCGTTGTCAAGCTGCATTGCTTTTTTGGGCGCGTGTGAGATAGGCTTTTCCGGGGTAACGTTTCATCATCATGATGGAGAGGGGCCCCCGGCAAGTCCCGATCAAATCCTCCACCTTTCAGACATCTGACATCTGGCATCTATAGCTCTGGTGCAGGTGCAAGCTGAAAGGGTTCAATTGGTGTTGTTTCTGCCCGACCACGAGTCTCAAGAACACCTGGGTGCCCTTCTCTGCTTACTACACAGCTACCTCAGGGAACCGTTACTTATGAATGAGTTGAGCCGCGGGCAAATCATCCCCAACCACCTCTCTCCAACCCTCAACATCAACTCCCGGATTAACGATACGGAGTCCACCCCCCAACTGTCGACCGCATCTTACGTACTGCTACTACCCAGGAGACCAAGACCCATCTTCGCCGACGACAAAGTCCCCTGACGGAATTTCTTTTTTCGTCTGTCCGTTCCCTCTCGAACGCGATGGAGAACGATCGTCCCGTAATGACGGATGATGGGCGTCACCAAGCCCTTCTCTTGCCGATCGAGCATCAAAGGGAAGTTTGAAAACAAACAGATAGATAGTTAATTATCCCCAGCTAGAGCAGGTAGGCACGGGCGGTATCTGATCATCCAGCCAGCAGGGTGAGAGGTCTATGATTTCAACGGAGGGGGTGGGAGGATAAAGTACACTTATCTAAGGTCAGGCACACGTATGTTATCGATAAGCCACCAAAAATAAACGGTGAGTGACAGCAGGCAGCGTAGAGTATGTAGGTGGTTTCAGTCCTGGAAGGGGGTGATGGGGGCCGAGTGACAGTAGAATTAGGGGGGTGGGAAGGTGAGTGATGATCGTCTTGGAGTAGAGTACGTACTGGTTGGTAAACAGTGAACACCACACACCCCGCTCTGGCGTTCTGCTTCTAAAGTTTAGTTAGCTGCAGCAGCAACCACCGACCCACCGACAGCCACCACCACAACCACAACCACGTACATGATACATATGCTGCCAGCATTCCTATGCATTGCATAGCAACTACTCTCTCTAGAGTACTCTAGAGTACATACGCCAGAAGTACCTACTCTACCGCCATCTACTGGCCCGCCGATTCCCCGAGATCATTGGGAGGCGGTCAAAACAACAGCGACCCTAGCCAGACGTCGACGACGGTAAACGGCTCTAGAAAGAAAGAACTCTCAAAACAGAGAAGGGATCCTCACCCCTCCCCCTCTAGGGTAGGGGTTAGTCATGCATTATCATCATCGTACATTAGAGGCAAAGGTTGCGCCATTCAAAAAACAGCTAACGTCCGTGAACGGGGATCTCCAATTATGGTAGGTACAATACAGTATCCTCAATGTAGTTTATTATACTTGTAGTCTATCCAGAGAGGAATTACCTATAAATGCTATGAACCAACCGTGTATATATAAAATCAACCAATAGAAAAGGCAGCCCACACATGTATACTGTATGAACAAGGAAATTGATAGAAGGAATAATAACCCATATATAGAGATAGCAATGATGGAGAAAGTAGTCCGCTAATGATCGATAAAAGTATGAATCAAAGGATAAACCCAAAGAAACTCGTAAAGGAGAGGTAATCGCTTGCCATAAAGATGGTGTATCTGAAACTCAAAAATAGGTGCGGATTGGTTGTGAGAAACCAAGCTCTTAACTGATGATGAGGGTGAGAGGGGAGCGTAAAAATAAACACAAAAAAAGAGAATAGTACAAGATAAAAGTAAACCCGAAAAAACAAAATAACTTTTATGTTGATAGAAGACACAATTCAACTTCCCGTGGAGGCACACATCATATCCATCATAAGCCTATCATGAACTGTCACCCCCAATATTTAACTGAAACGAACCAAAACCAAAAGGCGCCAGAAACAATAACCCCCCCTCCTGCAGAAACGCAACCGTAACCGAAAAATAAAAAAAAAGATATAATCCAAAGAGAGCAAAACCAACGTTTAAAAAGAAAACCAATTTTCCGAATATTCCTTTTGCCATTTTTTTTTTTTTGCCCCATAATGTGACCTGGTGTCGTTTTCCATGAAACGAAAGTCATCCCCCCATACTCAAGAGAAACAAGGAAATATATGGACTACACCCTAGGAGGTGAGGCTGCCATTTCCGTGAAAACGAAGGATCCCAAACACTAAACCGATAATCCCCAAAGGAAGAAATACAAGAGAAGAAATTTAAACCCCAAAGTACCGAAAAGAAAAAAAGATAACTGAACCTAGAAATACTACCACCCATATAAAGAAATTAAGTGGAAGCCAAGACAAGTAAGAAAGCTTCTTCCGGAGAAGTAGAAGAAAGATTAACACCAAAGATCAATGGGCGTTGTAGATCATACCATGCCCAGGTTCATGGGGTCGTCTGGATTGATCACTCCGGCAACAGCCACGACTGGCTGAATACTGGTTTGCGTCAATCCCCCATGGGTAGTGTGGGATCTGTGGTACTTCAAGCCGTTCAAGTTCTTGTAGCGCTTTCCGCAGTATTCGCATCTGTACGGCTTTTGCTTCTCCATGCCCACAGTGCCTGGATAGGGGGTGGAAGTTTCTGGGTTAAGAATCGAGAAAGTTCCATCAGCGTTGTCATGGAGCTGCTGGTTAGCATGTCCGTGCTAAAAGAAATGTCAGTAAATCTTAGTAATGTAAAACAAGAGTAGGGCAATAAATACCGCTTTGTGGTACTTCAACCCGTTCTGGTTCTTGTATGCCTTTTCGCATCCAATTACGGGGCACTTGAAAGGCTTATCTTCTTGAGGTAGGATGTTGCCTGTGATTTGTCAGTATGCAGCTATCACCTCTTTAGAGTCTTGTGCCACTCACCATTCGCAGCACTAATCATGTGTTGATACTGTGAGGTGTAACCACCCATTGCGACCCCCCCGGGGCTGAAAAGAGTCTTGGCTGGCTCATTGATGCATAATTCAATGTTGCCGGTGGCAAGCTCGTAGTAGTCCGTAGTGGGAATGTGGAGATTCTGCTGGTTTCCCTGGACCGTATTATTTTGTGGAAAGCCATATTCGTGCTGATCCATGGCATGCGGGGTACCGGGTACAGAAGACTCCGGCGAGAAATGTGATGGCTTCTGCCCAAGGCCTGAAGGCTGGGCATGCACGAGATTTGGAGTGCTCTGGTAGGACGGCTGGCTGTGGGTGGTAGGAGTCGGGGGGTACGAAATGTGCTGATTGTGGTTTTGGGGGGTGAGTGGGGCAGGTGGAGGAGTCATATCATCATCATCCATTTCCATATCACCGGCAACTTCACCATCTTGCTCCTCGTCTTCTTCTTTCGCATCATGTTCCTCCTGTTGGCGCTGCTGTAGCCGTTGCATCAATCCTAATTGAATCCCACCCATTCCACTGATAGGGCTAGTCATTCCGGCAGCATTCTGCTGTTGTGGTCTCGGGTGCTGCTGTTGCTGCTGTTGAGGTAAGTCACTGCCTGTGGGTCCATTATCATCGCGACATACCGTTCCAGATTGTTGGGCGTGGTGCTCCTCGTAATGCCTGAGAAGGTCATGGAGAGATGGGAGCGGAAGGCCGCAGCAAGAGAAATCCCGGCAGAAATCGGCCTCGAGCTTTGGAAGGTATGACGAAGAGTGGAATGATGGAGATCCAAATGTAAAGGGTGATGTTCCAGCCATGATAATACTATAGAAGAGACGTGTTAGAAATTTAGACACTATAAGTTTAGATATTATGATTAAATATAAGGAATTGAAACATAAATTGAAATTTAATGCTTCAGAATGAATATGTATGGGGGGGGAGGGGGGTATGCTTGTCATGGGTGTCATGCAGAATCATTAAAGACAGCACTGGCATAATTCATAATTACGCGACCAGATTAGGGCATGCCTGGCGGTAACGTGTAATACGGTCGCAATTTCTCCGGGGAACTTCTGGCGGGGCAAAAATAAATATATACGTACTCATCGCGTATCCAACTCCCAACACTAACGCCTCCCCAGCTCATTCCGCCACCCATTAAACTTCGTGCCATATCGCCATTTACCATACTTTCCCGTCGCAATTTACTAGACATAGCGATTGCATTGTTTTGTGAAATACTCCCGCTTCGAGCCCCGACAGGCTCCATTGTGTAGCCTGCATAAGCTTCCCCAGCAGCCCGAAGCTGACTAGTAAGATTTGATTTGGGCTGGTGCGGGCGAGGCCGGGAGGTAATATCAATTGGAGCGGGCATCTTGTCAAAATTTGGGTCTGGTGTTGATGTGACTGTCCTCGGAGGCGTAGGTTGTGCGTGGCGAGGATATGGGGTAGAAAGAGGAGTTGTATTATAGCTCTCGTTGGAGCGGGAAGGGCTCAATGACGGCGTTCTAAAGAAATCCGTGGTGGGCGATATTATGGGGTATTTGCGTTGAAAGCTGATGTATTACTGAAGCACAATGTGAGACAGAGCAACAAGACTTCGATATGTTAGAAAGATGACTGTAATTTTGAAAGAGGATGAGAAGGGCAAAAGGGTTTAAGAGAATTATCTTTAGCCCTTGGGGGGGTGAGGGGTTAATGAATAAGAATAGGAGGAGGAGAGGACAGGAGGAGAGGGTCCAGGTGGTGGCGTACTAAGTACTGGGAGGGATGGGGGGGGGGGGGGGGGGAGGCTACTTTGGCTACTCGTATCAAGATATGTTTGTAAGAAGGTGGACGTCCGGTTGACGTTATTAACAAGCAGTCCCACTAGTGCGGCGGGCTAGGATGAGGGCTCGGGGATGTCTAGGCAAGATCGGTCGGCGGGGTGGTAGCCGGAAAAGGTGTACAGTATACAGCTAATGTGGCTCAAAATAAAGGAGGATACAGGAACAGAAGTAGAAGGAGGAGGAGAACGGGGAAGCAGTATGTTAAAGTGGAAGAGGAGGAGAGGAAGCTGGGTGGTGTTTAACTGTTGCCGCTGTGATGGTGGGTGGGGGTGGGGCGGGCAGATGGATCGCAGTTGCCTCTGTTATTGAGACACTCTTGTTAGACAGTGGTGTAAATTATTTTGAGCGTTGGCTGGCTGGCTGGACTGGGCTGGGCTTGGTTGGTGGTGTCGCACACACAAGCGCGTGTTTGATCAAGCCCGGCAACGAAGGAGATGAAGGCGCCGGTAATATCTTACTACTGGCGATAACAATAATAGTGATGAGGGAGGGGAGAGAAGATACGAGTGAATTCAAAGGTGCAAGTGGTAGAAGGGAAGCAGCAGCAGCAGCAGCAGCAGAGGAAGAAGAAGAATAAGAAGATCAAGCAGAAGAGGAAGGGTCAAAAACACCACTGCCAGCACCGGAAAACAGCAGCATGAGGGGTTCTAATCGGGTTCTAACTGAAGTGTTAGACCAGGCGAGCCAACGAGTGACTGACCGAGTGACTAGTCGAGTGACTGGGCGGGTGACTGGGTGACTATGTGACTGGACGAAGAGCTGCTTTCTCTCTTAGAACCCGGATAACAGGGGTTGAATCCAGAGGTAAAAAAAGATCAATGTATGTCCTTACAGAAGAGTCGAGAGAAGTGAGAACGACGTGCACGACAAGAAAGCGCTGCTTCAAGAATTTGTGTTTGGTCTGACTTTCCTGCTGTCAGAAAATTGTGTCTCTGGTCTGTACTTACCCGTTCTTATTGCTTTATTGATTCGGACCAGCCCGACGACACCCCTCAGCCGAGATGGAAACTGTATGGTAGCAAATGAGATCCAGTTACGAATATGCAGTACAGCATGATACTATATGCACCATGTGGTGCACTCTTGACTAGGTACTCTGTTCTACTATGGAGTAGAGTATCTGCTCTACCTGCTCTACATCGATTCTTATGACCGGGTCTGCATCTCTCGGAGCTGCTGTCATCTCCACCCTACGTTAAGCAAGATCCGATCTAAAATGGTATGGTTAACACATGTATGAAACCATTCAGGTGATTACGCCCAGGCAATCTGTTACGGCTATATAATTCAAGCCTATAGGCGCTGAGACAAGTGAAATGACGTCCTATCTAAAAGCTTTGGGTCGTTGACGGCCATGGCCTCGTTGTTGCTCATGTTGCCTGTGATACTTTCTAGGATACCCGGCTTGGCGATTAGTACCACGCATTCCGAGCCAGCGTCATGTCACCCATGCTGGGAAATAATTTCGAAATACATAAATCAAAATCAAGTCCTCCGGGAAACATATAATCCCTTCGTAGAACAATTATCCTTCTCGGAATTGACGGAAGGTTTCCCAACACTTCAAGGCCGTGATTATGATTATGATGATAGTACGTATACCAATTTCCCAACTCTCTCGCCGCGCGTGGACAACCACCTAGAAACCACCTCCTCCTCCACCACCACCAACTCCTCCTCCTAGGATCCTCAGAATAACATGCTACCTCCAAAAAGCAACGAAATCCTTCCCCCCCGCTCGCTTCTCTGCTCCCAGGCACAAACCAGGATATATCTCCCCACCCCCATTTTCCCAAATCGGCTACCCACATGCATGCCCAAACTCACGAACTTTAGGACGGATGCAGTCATCATGAGAGGCGCTTGGTGAACCCATCAAATTACGGTGGTTTCCACCCCTAACCCTCGTGCCCAGCTCAGCTAACGTGGTTTGGTAGAAAGCCTATTCTGTTGAAAACATGGACTGTGTGTTCCTGCTCTCACGTTTCCATATTTCCATGCTGAAGTACCTAGATCTGCATACAACAGAAATCAATCTGGCACTTTATGCAAGATTTGACTTTAGTCTGGTCCTGAAACTTACACCAGTACGAGTAGCGTGGTCTGAGAGCGTGATTATGTCCCCTAACCCTGATAATTTACTCAACGCAAGTAAGTTGTACTTCCAAGCCGGATCCGGATACTCTCTGGAACTCCAAGATCTAATCTGCTGCTGCTGATTGCCGACGTCCTTTCGGTCCGGGCCGATGTGAATAACCGAGGCAATATATTTCCAATTTATGATGTTTTCGAGTTCTTTAATTCCGGATGAAGGGATTCGCACTATTTATTTTCTTTAACCAAATAAATTCCAATACATATGGCCTAAGTGCATACGGTAGAGTTGAATAGAACTAGAGATTTGTGGTTGCGCAAAATCCCCTGCGGGCTCGATGTAGGTACATATGTCGCAACGGTCAGGCTGCAGAACCAGATGTACCGATTGCAATAGGTATGACCAAAACTTCCCAACGGAAAAAAAAGGCGTCAATGATCAAAAATGCAGGTTCGATGATTTGCAATTGTGTGAGTCAGTAAGTCCAAGTGGTTCTGTGAGCACGTTCCCCCCACCGCCACTCCGTCCATAGCCACCGCCGGGAATCATGCAAAGATGTTACGCGTCAAATTACGACAGTAGCTGATGAAGTTCATGGATCCCAGGATTGTGAATAGAGTAAGGAGGGACGACCCCCCAAGTGACTAAGCGTGCGTAGGGCGGTCCGCAAGCCATAGACTACTGTAGTTACTAGTTAAAGAGAGATCCCCCTTCCGGAATTTAAGCTAATTATCAATCCGACCTAAATTCCGTGCGCCAACGATCGTTTGTGAATAAGCCTTGAATCGTTACCAACCAATCATTGTCCCCAATTCTCGAAGGAGGACTTTCCGAAAGGCCCAGAAGCATGTTAACTGCATCTACTAAACAAATTCGCCGAGGTGGTTTGTGTAGAGCGATGTTTACTGCAGCCACCAGCCGCACTTCTTCTTGAGCATGTATGGGCCCCATAGTAGTGGATGGCTGGATGGCTGGCGGGAGGGGGCACTTCAGTCTCCCATAGCCATCTAGACTTTGAGCTCCCTTAAGCAGGCCGCTGTCAATATAAAGATGGCGTGCTAAGTCATGTGATATCAGTCCGCGGAGTTCTTCGGAGAACAAAAAAGGACTCGAAGGAAGCAGCGGCAGCAACGGCTGAGAGGAAAACGTCGTTGAAGATGTAGGAAATCACATTTTGTGAACAGTCGTGATCCAGTCTAGAGTGGTGGATTTGCTGAAACTCGACTAGGTTCTTAGGGCCATCCTGATTCGTGAATAGTAACTGCACCCGCGCGCTCTTTCACTTCAGCTCAGAGAAATTGCGAATACCGCCACTGGTGCGGAATTAAAGTTTAGTACAGACTTTAGAATGTTCCTCTGCATATCTTGTTCTCTGCTGCATAGTCGTGTTTCCCAGGGTGCTGTATGTACCTGCTAAGAACGACTGATGGCTCAGCCAGAAGCCTCCCTTGCCCACGACCTACCACGAGTCCACGACCTACCCACGACCTTTGAAGCCACTGCAAATTCGAGCCAAAGAGATCGTTAGGAATAACATGAACATCCTGAAACACACGACTATCGTTCGTGGTGGGCGCACAGCATAACTCCACGTTGTTCCGTGCAAGGATTGTCGTGAAGGAAGGAAAAGCAACCGTTGGAGTGGACCCTGAACACCCGCCTAACTAGAAGCACCCCTAACCCACAGGGACGGGGGTCAACTCGCTAGAATACGATCTTCATTAGGTCATCTGAAACGCCCTTCTTCAGAGCTTCGCGCTATTCCTCTTTCTGCTGCCCTGCACAGATGCACGCAGCACAACACCCTAGTCGATGTACCCAGAATTGCGTGACCTCCTCCACGGTGCGCACTCTATCTACAATTCTGTCTTCTGTCACGATCAACCAAAGGTTTATATTTCGGTAACTGCGATTCCATCGGACCTTACATAAAACGCGGTTCGATGCTCAGTGTTCCAGCATCCGGGGCCAGGAAACATTCCCATTTATCCATATTACGGGATTTTGCATCGCGGATCCAGCACCCTCAATGAAGTATGCAAGATTCACGAGTCCTCTCCTGAGAATAGAGCATTCTAAACCCCCCACTCTCCGTACATAAGCTGTTTCTTTTTTCTTGGAGATCGTCTTGTTTACTTTTTCAATTCCGCCTTTACATGATGTCCTTTGCCCATGGGGGGAGGCTTGCAGACCAGAAGTCCCCCCAATGGCGGCGGGGAATGCCGCTTTAGGGCATTTTCTACAGGGTAACTTGTGATGCCGCCGTCCCCGCGTACCTTTCCTTTTGCAACCTCCATCGCATTGAGATGCCCTACGGAGTCCAGGACGGTTTTGAAGACGCGACCGTTTTTTTTTTTGACAAGGCCTGACAAGGGTCCGGGGTTACTGAGAGGAGAGAAACGACACCAAGGACTACGCTATTCCATGCTTCGATACTTCCAGTCGAAGGCCACGAGACCACTAGAGAGGAAATACGGTATACCTATCGTGAAAAATGAAGTGATATATCATTTTGCAGAATTAAGAGGAAATACACAACTCAATCAAGTATGGCACGTTACTATGGCAGAGGAGACGAAAAAGAAAAGAAAGATGACGGCACAGAACAAAGCCTGAGTGACAGGCATGAGAACATTGGGGCCGTGAAAGTCATCCCTCCACAAACGTGCATAGCGAATCGATGTGGGATTTCAGGAGTATCCAGATATCAAGCCATGGGCATGTACCTACTCTACCTACGCATGCTTAATTCCCCGTATATCTGTCCTGTTTGTGAATTGACATCAGGCAACCTCAGGCAGGCTTGAAATACCTAGGCAAAGTTTGGGGATTCCCCGACGAACCGGTACCGAGGTTTGCAAGACAGAATCTCTTCAGTCATGCGTGGTGGTCAGTGTTCACCATTTGAAGTCCCGCACATCTCAATTCCATGCGAGCTTAAAACGGCAAGTAGGATCTACTGGGGGCTACCTGTGCCGAAGCGAGTTTCGGGAAGCCGTAATACTAGTCTGGTGGAGTTCTGATAGAGAGTCGGCAACTACCATCTCAGCCTCCACTATATGACAAGATTAAAACCGTCTTTGCGCGCTCGTCAAACCTCCCGCTGCACGCTCGCAACTACCCCCCTCTGGGCTAAGAGAGGTAGGCAAAAAAAATTTAGAGTAATGTAGGTACAGTACCGAAGTGTTTCACTTTTTATTAATTTTTTTATTTTTTTTTATTACCGTGACATGAATGTCGTTGGGCATTTCACGTCTCGGAGTCACCGGCAGTTAATTTCACTGTCACGCAACGGCCCCGCCGCTGCAATGCAATGTCGCAAAGTGGGGTCACAATAATTACCCATGGCTTTTCTTAAAAACCTATAAACCTATTAACTACGTGTTTTGAATATATAATTACTGCGGGATCGAGTGGGGTCGTTTACCGTGCTGCGAATCTTGTTTTCGCCGTTCACAAAGGCGGGGTCTTTTTCGAAAACTATTAAGGGTATATAAAAAATTGAGGGGTTCAAAGTTACTGCGGAGAAAAACAAAAGTTTCGGCTTCTCGAAGTTTAAACCCTGGAGAGCCACATGTGCATGAAGTAGGATTTCTCAATTTCTCTCCACGTACAATTACGTCGTTTTGCAGTTTCCCTAATTTATTTTTTATTTTTTGGATGGTTGTACTTTGATTTTTCATTTTGACGTCCTACATTACATAAATTTCGAATGCAGATGCATGAGAGCACGTGCTAACCATATTGCAGCAGTAGATTTCCCCTCTTCTAGAACCGATTTGTATCCAGCAGTAAAGAGCGTGACAGATAACCGCAGAACAACAAATCAACCAATACATATGGCCACATAGATCGTGAGCTTAGATGCTGTGTTCTTCGAGTATCGTGGCATATTTGAATACGTTTCCATCGAGCCCGCATGCATGCAGCGCAGTTCAGGCATCTGCCGTACGTACTACCTTTACTCGCTCCGTCCCAACAAGACAAGACAACAAGAGGTTTCAATTTATCCAGGAAATATGTCAACCCTCGCACTCTACGTTGTTTTCTCACACCCAGGTACCCCCTTTCCCTTGAGGGCACGACGATAATCTTCACCGACGAAACTCCCCTTGTGGAGAATCGTTTGGCTATCTGGATCCGAGTGATGGCACATGAGAACCGGGGATCACGTGCTCATGCGTTCCAATCCTTGTCCGTGACAACAGATGTTTTGCATGATTTCGCGATAGCAATCAATTTTCACGATCCATTGTGAAAAGGGCTCAGATAAGGGAAAGCATCGATGTTATCTTAGCACCAGGCGTCCATCCATATTTGCCGGACTATTAATTCTCCGCCAGACCCTATCTGGCGAAACAGACCTCTGCAGGACAAAACCTGACCAAATAGAGCGTCGTGTCTGGCTATAAGGAAAACTCGGTGTAAGGAATATTTCCATTGCTGTGACTGACATTTCCCCTCCTTTGCTTCACCCCACTAAACCTGACCTGCTATATAGAATGATTTGTTATCAACTGAAGGGAGAGAAAGGACCCCCAATATGCTATGCGCAATCCTTGCCGCTATGGGCTCAACTGGGGGAACCTTCGATTCTGATAGAGTAGATCTTCCGGTACATACAGAAGAAACCTACCAAGAAATTCCGAGAACCTGGATAGCAACAGAGCCTGTAAACAATAGGGTACCAGGTTGCTGGGCGCTTTGGTCCTGCTTCTTTCCTGCTGAATGATGCCATTTTCGAACCGATAAGCCCCAGATCTGAGACTGATCTCTTTCAGAAGCCCACGGCTTCGCCAATCTAATCTCATGCCCGGGGGGTGCAAAGATCGTTCATTGGACCGTGACGTGACGATTTAGGGAGGAGTTTTTTCTCCTGTGGGCGAACATGGTACATATGTACCATCCGGTTGATATGCATGCAATTTTTTTTCTTCGTCGACCGCATACCGCCACATACTGTTGCGATTTCAGGAACGACCGAAACTGGGGGGGCCCTGCGTAACAAACAAGTTGGGGGAGGATATGCAGGCTATATTGGGCCTGATCGCCCCCGTAGATGGACCACCTGTGACCCGATTGTACCGTCGTGGGTTAGGGTTATTTGGATAAGACGGCTTGAAATCGCGCATATCGATAGAGGAGAGGTGGGAAGCGGGGCGGGACCATCAGTAATCCGTGCGCAATTTGGCATGTTCTGATCATGTTCTAAGCAGGACTGGATCGTACGATGAAGCCCGAGCGCTCCAGAGCTATGGGTTTTGAACGTGCGCGGGTGGACTCCCCGAGGGTAGTTAAGGGAAACATTTATTCTAATACATATGCGGCATGGCCGACATGGTACAAGAAGATCCCTAGCCCTGGAAATATTTTACAACTCTACGAATATTCGAAAAGATCTAGCCAGAGAGATCTTCCTGACTCCCTCTAGATCCAAGCTCTGGGTTTGGGTCTATACGTAGTATACAGCTGCAGCTGTGACTCTGGCCATTGACCTACCAATGAAATATCATAACTTCAAAAAAAGATTCCTTCAACAGTCCAGATCACGCATTCTAAAAACCTATATCTAAGAACAAAGATAATTCAGCGTTGTTCCTCGTCCTTCAAAACCTTCGCATTGCTCGGAAAACCCTAAACCTAAACAAGTATCGAGTGATAAAACGTGACTTCGGCCTCAGCCCTGTAAACAATTCCCGCGATCACAACGAGCATGGATAGATGGCCGAGCGGTTAAGGCGCTAGCTTCAGGTGCTAGTGGGGCAACCCGCGTGAGTTCGAGTCTCACTCTATTCAAGATTTGGTTTGTTTTTTTGCCCTGAGTTACTCAGAGAGATTTGGGGGGGTGAGAAGGGATGACGTACCGGGCTTGCATTCTGGCCTGACCTGTGGTGTGTCCTGGATTTAAGCGTAAGCGGCCATTGGCACGATATGAGATGAAGCGAGCCCTCCTCGTGCGAGGTTGTGGTTGGAATTGGCTGGATGGCGCAGGCACACGCCCGAGGATAGGAAACCTTATTTGAGTCGTCGAACCTTAAGGCACCAACCAATCCATGCTTCAAAGTTAAAAACCGTCCCCGTTGGTATAATAGGATATTTTCATATAATGAGTGATTGGTTGGTGGTTCATTAGCTTATAGGGCCATATAAGAATACAGCAGAAGGACATTATCTACAAAGAATATATGCCCTATAAGGACCAACCCCTCCAAACTGAATATTCGATAACGATAACTCACTCCAAGGCTATCCAAACCCCAGTGAGAGACGACATGTACTCAGTGTGCTAAGCAAGTAGTAACTGGTCAGAATTATCACTGCCTAAGAAAGGACATGGTGCTTGTTGATATGTAGATCGATTGTGCCTGAGTGTCTGTCTCAAAGCGGAGAAAAAAACCAAAACAGCACTTTCCTAGGCCTTCGGGTGACGTAAAGTGAAGTCGATACCCTCAGTTCCCACAGACTCCTCTCCGTACCCAACCCCGCCTTGTATGCGTCCGCCATGAGTACTAACCCTAACTGCTAACCCCAACCCCTAACCCCAACCCCCAACCCCCCAGACCCAACTAACCCTAAAGCCACCAACGAGTGATAACCCATGACTCACCTGCCCACCAATACCCCAATACCCCAATCCCTATATCCTAACCCCCAATACATATCAAGGGTGCCCAGCCTATCTAGTATAGGGGTGTCCACTGAGACACTCTACCATTCTGAAACCAGGGTGGATAGCAGCATGACTAAATGAGTGAGCGGAGTGGAGTGGAGTGCACGCGCATCCCAGCTGATATCAGGAGGGCTATAATATATCTCAGGTTGCCAAACCAACCCAACCAACCGGACAACCGTACAAGGTACTGGTGGTGCAGCTACTCAGGGGACGGAGACGGGAAAGCGATGAACGAGAGGCTACACCGGTTTTTCTTTTGCTTGTTCCCTGTACAGTAGGGTGCGGCGGAGCCAATCGTTGATCGTACATTCCTATATACTCGAGCTCGTTATACATGACACAATTTGCAAACCCCTGGTAAATAAATCAATGCCCGTCCATCCATGACCAGTCATGCGTGGATGGTTATGTTATTAAGGTTTAGTTTACAGGTATAAGCTTCTCCGAAAAGAAAAAAAATAAACAAAATCAAAAACAAACCTACTTGCCCATCACATCACACTGCCCCCAGCACATCCGCCCAGCACCCCTCGCCCGCAGGCCTCCTTCTCCCCACCTCGTTCTCAAAGTAGCGCTCACACGCCCTCCCAAGACTGAGGAGCGTCTCCTCCGCGCCCCACGCCGCAAGCCCCATCATGCCGATTGGCACCCCGTCTGCAGAGTACCCGACTGGCATGGAAATACTCGGCGTGCCCGTGAAGTTTGCCAGGAACACATATCTTGCGCTAATTAGCCATGCTACTACTATTGTTGTTGGGGGAGTGGGTGGGTGGGGCAAAAACTCACTGCATACTCTTCAAACTCGCATTCGTATCGCTCACCCCCGCACCACCCTTTTCCGCATGCCCCTCCGCAATAATCTTCGCCCCTGCCGTCGGCGTCACAGGACTCACAATGACCAGCGTGTCACCATACTTCTCCCAAAGCCACGCCAGATGCGACATCAGCAGCGCTCGCACCCGCTGCGCGAGGACAAAGTCGCGCGCCGGCGTCTGCCCGGAGATGGCGACGACGACCTTGTTGGCGGGTGTGAGCCCGTGCGTGTCGCCTTTGCAGAAACCCTGGCCAATCTCGGTCATGATTGTGAGGGCGTGCGCTTTACGGCCTTCGGAGAGGAGCGGCAGCTCGATATCGATTACTTCGTAGCCGGCGCTGGTCTGCAGATGCTGGATTGCCGCTTGGGTCGCAGCGTGGACGTCGGGGCTGCAGTCTTCGAGCCAGGGCTTGTAGACACCGATGAGGCGCTTCTTGCTGTCCGAGGGGTTCCATTGCGGGGGAGGGAACAGGCGGGAGGATGCGTCGCTGGGGTCGGGTTGCGCCATGATCTCGTAGGCACGTTCGAGATCGTCCATTGTTGCGGCGATGGGCCCGATGACTCCGTTGGACGGCGCAATTGATCGCGTTGGTGCCTGTGAGATCCGCCCATGAGTTGGCTTTAGCCCGTAGACGCCGCAGTAACCTGCGGGGAGCCTGATGGAGCCCCCGCCGTCCGCGCCGACCGCAATAGGAACTAGACCTGCCGCAACGGCGTAGGCGCTACCGCCGGAGCTCCCGCCGGTATAGTAATTGGGGTTGTATGGGTTCCGCGGAGTCCCATGGTTCGGGTTGTTGTTCGTCGTATCGAAGCCAATCTCGTGCATGTTGGTTTTCCCGACCACGAGCGCGCCGGCGTCAATCAGCTTCTGTACACACCATGATGTCTCTCCGTCGTCGAGCTTATTTGTGCCGCGGCGCGACATTTCTGCGAAAGTAAGGCCGAGAGTCTTGGGAGTGCCGGCGACAGCGAGCTCGTCCTTGACAAGGATCGGGACACCGTCAAGCTTCATTCTCGGGGCTTCGGCGTTGGTGGCATAGCGGCGGTCGCTGGGTGAAGCGGAAGGGGTCACGGGCGTGATAATGCATGCCGAGTGTTGGGGGGAGGCGAGGAGGCTGGTAACTTTGGTAGTGACGGCAGTGGGCGTGAGCTTCTTCTCTCTGTAGGCATCTATGTACTCGCCGGCGCAGTAAAAGATTGGATTCTCCTTGGGAAGGCGCGGGAGAGAGGTGGGCGGTATGGGGGCACTGTGAGGGATCACGGTGGGGTCGAAGCGGGGCTGGTAGGGGTCGAGGATCCCGGTGGCCTCAAGAGAGCGTAGGGAGCCGAAGCCTGCGTTGCTCCAGAGGAGGGATTGAAGGGGTGTGATGTTTGCAACTCTGTTTTGTAGCTGTTAGAAGTGGTTATATGGACCATGAAGGAAGCAGGCATTTGTTTACGCTTCACTCAGTAGCCGTAATGGCAATCCTGCCAGTACGGGGTTTGTGTCTGGAGGATTGGTGTACGGCGTTACTGGCGCCTCAATGGCTGCAGGATAGTTGATACCCTGTGAAGTAGTCGAGAAATTATTGTTTGGCATTCCGATGATTGACAGCGCGAGTAGTGATGATAGTGAGAATAGCGCTGATAGTGATGATAGCGATGATGATGGTGATGATAGCGATGAAACTTGTAGTGATGATTATGACGATGATGATGATGAGTATGAGAGTGTGAACAGCAGTAAGAGTAAGGATGAGAGAGCTATGTCCGTAGTATCAGCCTTAACGTTTTCGACCTGGCATGTAAAGAACAAATCTGGTTGAGATTCCTGCCGATCCTTATCTCCTCCAAAGCTTGTGCTGCTGCTGTCGCACGAGACTCGCTTCCTGGCACCGACACGCACCGCGGTTTCAGTACTTATGGAGACACGTCGCCGCCAGCATGTGATTCGCCAACAGGGCCCGGCATGTTCCGCGTTAACGAGGGGCAGGCGGAGGATGCGAGTGATATGCCGTGATTCCAGGTCAAGTTATGAAAGTTACGGGGCTTTCTGAGAGTAAGTGATGTGTGTGTGAATCTCTGGACTGGTGCAGAATAGCTATGGGTTGGACCTGTGGAGTATGTAGTTGTGTAGAGAAGAGGAAGCAGGTGGGCGGGGCGGGGCGGGTATACTCTACGTAACATATAGTCACTTTAGGTATACGTACTCCGGTCTAGTCGATTCCATTCCAGACATGAAGGTCTTGAGGACCCGGCCAAGTGATCTATCTGGCTTGCTCGCCTGTATAGAGAGATAAACACAGAATACGTGTTAGCAAGAAAATACAATTCGGTTTATAAATTTACGCGGCCTAGCGTGGTCCACGAGGTTGCTCGAGGCGAGTAGAGGCAGGTGTCAAGATTGCATTTTATTGTAATACTGGTATGCAAATGTAGGGAATATTTCCAATGTTCCTATCGGAAATATCAACCCTATTGAACATATGCCATTACCTAAACCTCAAGCAGTTCGAGGCGAGCAAGAGGGTTTGCCTCGAGTCTGCTCGCCTCGTCGACCCCCATGCCTTGAGCTCTCTCGATGAAGAGGCCTCGAGGCGAGGCCTCGAGCGTCAATGCCCCGTGGACACACTATTTACGCCTACTACCGAGGTTCTTCTAGTCTTCTTCCCTCTTAATGACCAACGTGTTGCCCTATCGAATCACCCTCACAGTCCGAAAGACAGTTAATTCTGATTCCGGATGTAGAGACTAGAATTGAGATTCTACAATGCATCTTATTGTTCCATTAATGATGGAAACCATCTACTGAGATTTCTGTAGAGACTGAGGTGTTTTATGGACGGGAAGATATAAAATCCTCTCAACTAAGCGTACTGAGCCTCCACCGGTTTATAACCGGGGAAGCGTAGTGCCCATCTGTCGGTGAGTTATATGCCTCTAGGACCCCCACAAACAGCTGCAGAGAGATGGCTATGGACTGACATGCACCACAAACTCTTAGAACTTCTACATAGACGCTTCAGTGCCAGCCACTCGACATTGCCCAGCGAGCTCGATAGTGGCGTACCCTAGAGCCAGAGGCCGAGTTTGCATGTGCCGGGGCGTTGGTATTTTTTTTTTTTTTTTGTTTAATTCATTAATGGCATGCAACCTTACAGTTATGGCAATACCGGGGCGTTGGTAGATACAAAACGTTAAGCTTATAAATTGGCTTATCGGTAGTCTCATGCCTATATATTGTTTAATGCTCACCAACCTGCAATAAGAGGAGCTATTAATGGGCTTGCCTAGCCTATTACAGTCGTTTACCGTTGCTTGACAAATACTTTGAGCCAATAGAAATTAAAAGAACTGGAGATCTCACAGCTTGCATTATTGGAACCCCTGTTCGTCAAGTGGCAGTATTGTTAAGAGACGGCAAACGACTGTATGTAGTCGTTTGATTTCAAAATGACTGATGCAAGACGATAAGAGCCGGTCCTTAACACTCTCCACATGCACAATTGAAAATGTAAGCATTACCTACTCCACCCACTCCCTCAGCTGGGGCTCATGTCCTGACCAATATTCAATCGTCTGGATTTTAGTGGCATCTAGATGTTCCCAACGCGGGCCACGGGGTCTAGATTTAGACACTTGAAGAGCTGGGTGGCACATCTGGATCAGCATGCTCAATTGAGTCAATTGAGGGCCATGTTAATCAAGAAGGTTATGATAAAGTTTAGCCAGACGGTGTTCAAGCACTGTGGCGTGGAGCAGTTAGGCAGGTTTTCTTGCAAATCCACAGAAAGTCACGCCCGTCACCCCTCCATTAACAGAGCTTTTCTACTTTGGAGCTGATTCTTACTATTCTGGCAGCGTTACAGCCCTGATAACAGCTATCCTGGTGAATATCTTCAGGCTAAGAGTGAGTGGAACGCAACGAGATAGATTCAACCAATACGACCAGCGTCTCGGTCTAGTATAGTATTAAAGGTCATGGTATGTAGGTACTTAAAACTGATTCATAGTAAGTAAGTAGCTACATCCCACCACTGTCTCCCCAACTAGCCAACTAGTTGGACTGATCATGAAGTTATATGAAATATGTAGCTTTTGTGCATTGCCCATTGACGATAAACCAGACAGAAAGAGTAGGAAAGAAAAAAAAAAAAGAGAAAAAAAAAAAAAGGAGGAACATCCTGCAAGAACAACCCAGAGCCTAAAGAAACAGGAAGGAACGAGAAACAACCCAATACAAGAAACCCGAACCCACCCCCTAGAAAGCCACCGCAACCACCAACGCACCCACCGCCATACCCATCGCCGAGTACCAATACGACACCGCGAGCCCATTCGCCGCATTAGCACCGGTGCCCGTGGCACTGGCCGAGCCATTAGTAGCGGACGCACTACCACCACCCGTAGTAGGTGTGGATCCACCAGTAGTAGTTCCTCCAGTACCACCAGCAGTGTTAGGAACGCCCGCCTGAGCAACCAGCGCAGCAGCAGCTTTATACGCCTCGATTGTCCTCGCCGGGTTCGCGGGCGGGTTGATCACACCGGCCATCCCGGCCTGGCAATGCTTGCCCGTCGCGCAGTAGAACCACATTGGCGTCGTATCCTTAACTACCACGGAGAACACCGGCATCTAGAAAGATATGTTAGTTAGGGCTTACTATATAGCTGCCACACGAGCGGGGGGGAGAGGAAACATACGGTGGTGCTCTCGGAAGTAACGGGCATGAAGCCCGACCAGAAGCCAGTAGTTCCATTGGTCTGCGGCATGGGCTGGCATGGGTTGTCGAACGTTGACTGCGCAAGACTGTGGTTCTTTGGATAGAAGTGGAACTGCACGAGGTCGCCGACGGCGGCGGTTATGGTCTCGGGGGAGAAGGTGAGGGACCCGTTGATGTTACTGGCCATCACTACATGTGCTTTAACGGAGCCGGAGGGGGTGGCGGCGGAGGAGGTAGCGGTGCCGCTCTGGGCTGTGGTAAGCCCGACGAGGGTGGCGGCGGCGGCGAGGAGAGAGAAACGCATCTTATTTGAGGATTTGAGTGGCGGGGGGCGTTGATATTAGATGATATGAGTGCAACTAACTGGGCTTTGGGAATAGAATATATGTGGGAATGAAGCAAACAAGAGGCGACTGGCGCTGTTTGTAGTAGGAGGAATTAATAAGGTGAGGAGATTTTAAGTAAAGAGAAAAAAGCAAGGTTTCGAGGAACAAAGAAATAGGCTTTACAAGGTAAGGGGGATATGAGTGAGGAGAATGAGAATGTTGGAATACTGAACAGAAAAGCAGAACAGAGCGAGGCAGTGAGTACGACTTATAGCTTTCGACCGGCCTCTATAGAATTATCAGGCTGGCGCGAAGAGGGAAACTGCCAGCCATACAAGGTGGATAGGGATCTAGGGGATGGACGAAACAGTATTCCAACATCACCAATACACACATGTACGCAGATCTCAGGGGACCAAGAAGAAACATGCTTCTGATCGAACATACTAGATCTATGCAGTTGGCTTGCACTTCAATGCAGGCCGGTTTTTTTGTGCGTGTGCAAATGTAACTTTCTAATAGTGGAATGGGCACTCTAGGGCGATCCTCCATAGAGATTAGAAGAACGACACACTCAAATGCATCATCCATCGTGAAGGAGTACCACAAGCACGAGAGCGTTTAAGTATTTGGAACCAGGCTACATACATTACCTACATGACTGACTACTAACTACATAGACGCCTACGTACGAAAATAATTGCGCTTGCGTTATGTACTTTGTAAATAAACCGCACTCTACTGGCCATGTTCTCACTTACCTACTCATCGCATCCATCGCGATGGGCTTAACTGCAACTCAACCACCTACCTATATGGACCTCTTCTCACACTAAGCGCCTCCGCCATGTTTAAGGTTACCCACAGCACCGTTTGGAATCCGTCACAGTCCGGATCGAAATAGGGCGCTAAGCTGCTATCGTGTTTCACCCCCCCAGAGATCCTGGCGCACTAAAAAGGCTTGTGTGTTCCAGAATTCTGTTCGGTGGGTACTACCTTGCAGGGGTGTTGTTGGAGCAACTGACCTAAGTACCCTAGAGTGCTTACTTGCGGGATAGGTATATCATGACAGGAATAGAAAAGGGGATGAGATGGGATGGGGTCGAGGGGGGGGTAACTTGTGAAAGAGGAGTTGGCGCGAGGGATAACTGGGTATGTGATGGGCTAGGTATTCACTATGAGGATTCCTGTTTTTGCTTTTGCTAGGGCGACGACGTCTAAGCACCTACCCGTAAATTCATGACGTTTCCGAACACGTCTGCTATTGCATACCATACAAAAAGCCGTCAAATCCACCTTTTTGTATGTCGTGCAATATTGGTCATGTTCGGAAACGCTATGAAATCACGGGTACGATGTTTGTCGCGTACGAAACACTGAAATCGAAGATCATCAAAAAGAAATGTTCGAGCGTACGTAGACAGACAGCATCATAGAGGATTCGCTTGCGCGGCCCAAGACATTGATCAACATAAACAATACTGCAGCGAGCAGCGGGGTCTGTCTGTGTACCCGCTTAGTTGGCTGCCAGGTACGTACTCTGCTGTTGGAGCGACGGGAAAAGCAATGGGCAAGAGCGAAACCTCAGACTAGTGCTAGAGAAGAAAATTCATACTTTTCATTACAGGTGCACGGATATATAAGACCCTGTTCCGCTACGCCTCGGGTCATTAGTACGGAGAATAATTATTTGCACACAGTTCAGCAGTGATATCGATGCGGGCGCGCCAAGAGACCCTAGCTATAGGCGGAGCGGTGTAAGAACGCCGCACTACCCCGCCAAGGGCCAGCGTACTAGCACTACACACTACATGCGCACGCTGAGTACGAGAACTGTTTTGGCGTCGCTATTGACGTTTTCACCCTATTCCCACTTTTCCCGCCCGCCGCACCATAGGGTGCGTTCCTCTTCTCCCCTTCCTCCCCTAGCTTTGCTTTGCTTTGCTTTTTTCCCTCCCTTATTGGAAGGCGGAAAGGAGCGGTATTCTTGCTCCGCCCCTAGCTTTGCTCCCACTTTTGAGAAGAATTAAACCCTGGCCAGTGCCCGAGCTCACCCGCTCCGATCACATCCCACCCCCCCCCCCCCTCTCTCCTTGCAGTGACAGAAACGCAAGCGCGCCCCTCCACTTCCCCCCGCGGCCCCACCTCCTACTCTTGGGCCGTGAGGGGGCATACATGCTTGCCGCCTCCGCCCTTTCCTGGTCTTGTTTGGGGCTCTCTCCGTGTAAATCACCCCTAACCCTCCATCCTTTCCCGGAGCCTGTGCTCTCCCTGAAGGGGAGAGGTGGAGGTTCCTGTCGATCTTTAGGCTTCGTTCGAAGGGTTAGAGGGGTCTTCTCTCCCGGTTTTTCCCTGCTGTTTATTTCTGTTATTAAGGCGTCTTGTATAATCTTCCTCATTGTGGCCAGGAAGTATTATCATCATTGGTTGGTTTTGTTCTACCTCCTAGGACTGCTGTATATATACTGGACAAAGAAAAGAACCACACCCGAGTTCGGATATGTGGATATCATGGATAATTGACTTTGTAAATAGATTGGACACTGCAGGGAGTAGGTTGCAAAGGGAGCTCTTAGTATCTAGTGAATAACCCTCACCCCGAAAACCTCGCGACCAATTAGATACTTGTGTCCCCATGGACGATCAAGCTCGCAGCCAAATTAACCACCTGAACATCACCGCGCTATCACATCTACATTGGTAAAACAGATGAAGGGGAAAATCATTTTTTGATTCTCTTTCCTTATATACCTATTCCCCTTCCTACCGATTTTCTTCCTCCGTGAATGCCTTTTGCACTTGTCTCCATTTTTCCTCCGTACTTTCTCCCTGAGTGCTTTCTTCCGTTTCTTTCTTTCCCGCCCATTTGCATCATTGCTTCCCCCTATCCCTTATCTTGTAGCTGAGTACATGACTAGCTTGAAAAGATGATTGCTGCCCCAGACATGAAAAATCACTCGACATGTTGTCATCCCCAAGCAACTCACTCCCACAAGTAACGACCGCCTAAGAAAGACTAGTTATATGAAAGCGACATCCCCACAAAGCCACCCCCAACTGAAAAACAAGCAGTGAAATAAAAGTAAAAAGAAAAATTGAAAGCTAGAAATGTATTGCAGTAGTATATTCTTGCCAAGAAAAAAAAAAAAGAAAAAAAGGAAAGACCTTTAAAGGGTATGAATGATATCATGCCAAGAAAAAAAATAGATCGAAATGAAATGAAAAGTAGCAGACAGAATTTGGGCTTGAAACCTACTTACCAGTAAAGAATGACTCTTTACACCATTGCCACCGAATGACTAACTCATCCCACCTCTATTCTTCTTCTTCTTCTTCTTCTTCTTCTTCGTAATCCCTCCTCGATTCCGCAGAGAGTAGCCAGTAGGAGAGGAATGCGGTCGTTACGAAAAAAAAAGCGGACATAAAAATAAGTATTTTTTCCAATTCAGTAAGCTTGTCGGGGTTGAGGTTATTCAAACCAAGCCACTACTCGAACGATTAGTTGCGATGTTTATATAAAAAAAAAAAAAAGGAAAACCCTCCCTGAGGAGGACACTCACCCAACAGGCCACGGAAGAAATTGCTACAATTGTAAAGATTGCTACCAGCTCAAGGCAGTAGATATAAATTGTCTTTCCCTCTTGCAGCTTCGTATCCTCAGGTTCGGAGTTTCCGCTGGCGAAGCTGTGGTCATCGAGTTTTGCCAGTAGCTTTTGTGCCCATGGGCCGTTTCCGACCATAGTCAAGATATTGGGACCAACGCTGTTTCCAAAGACCTCCTTGGCCAACTTAGGGACGATATGTGACCTAACAGCATCATTTTTCAGGGCTACATAAAGAGCTGTGGATACGAGTGACGATCTTGTAGCTTGTGAATCTTCAAGGGATAGTTCCAAGAAAAAGTCATCATACATGGTCCGGTAGCGGGCCATCTCGTCGGAAAAGGTCTCGGCCTGCTCGCCCCTGTAAGTCCTGGTAACTTCAACGAGTTTCCTCGTCTGGCCTGGGCCTACGACAACCTTCTTAAAGGTTTCAACCATCGGTGGTATGGCACTAGCCTGCTCGATTGCCGCTTTTTTTTCCGACTCTTTTTTCGAGTACCATTCTCTCTTCCTCTCCTCTCTCTGCTGAATATCCTTCCTTTTGAGTTGGTCAGACAATGAGTTCCACTGAGATAGTGTGTGAACCTTGGCTTTCTCTTCACTGGTTGTAGCCTTTTGTAGCTCGGCGGCTTCGTCGAAACTTTTACGATTGCGATTATGCTGACGTGTTGTGTATCCACGCTTATTACGGTATCTCATGCCTCCATAACATCTGCTACCCCCGTTCTCCGTCTTCCTATACTTCCACTTTTCATACTCGTGGGGAGTACCGTTACATTCGACACTAGTATAATTAGGCATTTTATTTGGCTTTTCTAATTTCTGAGCAGTCTCCATAGATGGACCAGAAACCTCAGATGGACCAGCCCCTTCGCCAATCAGATCATGGATGGCTTTATCATCAGTGGCTTCCGTAGCTGATTCATCTCTAAGATCAGCAGCGCCATCGCCGACCTCCTCCGATGAATAGTTTTGCTTGCCTGAGAAATAAGCCGGAGGGTCTTCATACTCAAGGTAGACAAAGTTGCGAAGCTGATCAAGATTCCCCCCGGTAACAACCTGAGATGCCTTTCCATTGGTCGAAGAAGCTTCTGCCGGCCTGAAACGTCTTGAATTATTGAGGGATTCACTCGAAACAGGTTTATTTTTCATCGGAGGGACCCAATCTTCGGTAATCCATTCTGGATACCTAGCATAGCCCATGTCCTTGGGAAGAATGCCGATTTGCTCCCAACCGACGAACCCAGTGACGTTTCCTTCAAAGTCCACAAGAACATTTCCACCTCCAAGCTCAGGTGGAGAAAGATAAAACTTCTCTCTGACAGGCTCGACAAGGGCTCCAGTTAGGAGTTTCAGTAAAAGAAGAAGATTTCTGGCCTTGACCTCCTCAGTCTCGGTGCTGCCTCGCACCTTCTTGATCTCTCTCACCCAGATGTCGTCTAGGTAAGCTTTCGTGGAGGTAAATGGTCCACTGATGACGGCGCCTCCACCAGTGAGTTGATGCGGTTTACCATTGATGATAAGCTTTTCTTGCACGTAGTCGACAGCGATAACCCCAATTTTATCAAAGGGAAATCTGCTCAACTTGCTCATATGCTCAGCGCATTGAGAAAGACAACGCATTTTTTGCTCGTCGTTCCAGACGCCCCACAGGTCATCGACTTTTCCGCCCTTCATACAGCTCATCAAGATAAAAGGCACGCCGAGACAATTATCTTCGTACAAGTCATACGAAAAAATGCACGGAACTGGAATATCCGTCTTCTCTTTGATGAAGGTCATTGCCTTAATATCAGACTCGAGCCAATATCTGTCTGACGCACTGAAATTGCGAGCAGAAAGAGGGATCCGTACAAGCCATTTGGCTGGTCTAATTTCACCAACGCGCGCATTGCTGGACAACTTGACTGTATATAACAAGTTTTTCGAGCCGATTCTGGGGTTTGGGTCTACGGAACAATCCACGCGGTGTTCAGGGATTTCCGTGTACACGGAATATAAAACGGTTGCGAGTAGAGCAATCTCATCGATATAGATGGACTCAATCAGTTCCCTGATTGAGGCTTCTCTGTCAATTTCACTGGTGCTTCCAGCTGACTTGGAACTCACGCTGGACTCCCCCGACTCAGAAGTGGGGCGTGCAGAGGGTTGTCCAACGTTCATCCTCAAATGAGGTGGAAGAGATGGCGTTTCTTTTGACTGAGTGGAATTATCGGTTTTTTGAATTTCTGGAATAGATTGATCCTCAAACTCGGAATGAGCATGAGAAGCCGACCCAGATTCAGACTCAGATTCGGATGCATATTCAACAGTAGCAGCCCTCGACTTATGCTCACCACTACCATCAACAGCAGCCACTGAAGCAGTATCCTCTTTAGTATCAGGTACCGTAGTCTGAATAATGGTACTAGCCTCGCCATACTCCTCTCCAACCCGCTCTGGTGGTGGAGAACGCTGAAGAGCATGCTCAAGCACAGAACTGCTTCTGAAGCCCTCACAGGAATCCTCTTCGATCTGATCCAGCGGAGCATAATCCAGCACAGGCACAAGCTGAGCACTCCTTCTAAAATTCTCCCAAAAGTCATCTCCGAGAGGATGAGTTTGCGGAATTGACGGTGCAGCATCATCATCATCGTCGATAGGAGCAATAAAAAAAGAAGCATTGATATCAGAGGCAGTGAGATCACTAATTTGGCTCAGAATCGATGAGGAAAGAAGAGCTTTGTCATCTTCATTATCTTGCTGATCGGTCTCAAACTCCGAGGCTTCGGGGGAGTATCGATGACCGTCGAGTGATGGTCTGAATGAGTCCTCAACGATGTCCATCAAGCTCCTAGTCATATAGCCAGAGCCATCATCAACATATCCTTCTCATGAAAACAAAGTTAGTTTAATTTATTTCTATCATTAAAAAAAAATATAAAAGAAAATACAAAAAAAGAATAAATAAAAGAAAATAATAATGGGGGAGAGTAAACTAACCACTGTATTGATCAGGTGTAATGATGCTAAACCCATCCTCATCATTAGATTCAGAGGTTGATGGTCTAACAGGAGTTTCCTGAGCAGTAACTGGAGGGGCACGCATCCTAGGAAGTCGAACTAGAGAGCTGTCCATAACAGTAGCAGGAATAGTGTCTGCTGAGATTCCTGCAGCAGTGGGAGAATCTTTCAAAGATGAATCTCTAAAGCTTGGGGAAGAAGCGGATGGGAATTGATCAGAAATTGTGAGACGGGGAGGAGAAGAAGAGAGAATTTCATCCTCTGGATAAGCAGAGAATTGAGGAGATGGGGGAGCCATTATTTAGATTTATGACAAGGAATTGGGGGTGGTGAAGATGTCTATCCAGCAGAAAACTACGAGATGGATGGATGAAGGAGTATGAAAAGGATGAGAAGGTGTAAGGGAAATTACGAGGAAAGAAAGAGAGGGACGGGAAAGTGGGAAACGTGTTATTAGGAAAGGGAAGCAGTCAATGTGCCGTTTTTTTTTGTCCCGCGTCCACGACATGTAGGTGCACCTAGGAAATAGGCGAAAACCTTACCAGCTGCAGCCCTATGGGCATGTATACATTTATGCATTTATGCATTTGTAGCAAGCTCTGGGCAGTGAGTAGTGGTCATGGGGGACCTACATGTACTGCTGCTATCAAGTCCTAGCGTCGTCTGTTCTGCCTTTCACTTGAGAAAGTCGAACTGTCATCTCATACCACGGCCCAGCTAGTCTCTGTCCAATCTCTAACTGCAGCATGCAGCATAACTGAAGCTCACTTCTACCTTGCACTGCAGCATACAGCGTGAGTGAAGTTCTCTTCAATCCTGACTGCCTGGATGGATGTTGGGGACGACACTAACGATATATATAGTAGAGCTCATAGCTCATATCTCTTTTCATCTAGCTATCTTATCTCGCACTCAGACTGTATGCTAACGAGGAACGACAAAAGACTCTGACGAGGAACAACAAAAGTCTAGGAACGGGACTACCAGCTGTCTAGTTCTGCTAGCTACGTTCAGAGCACACAAATATCTGATATTTACACCAGGACTAACACGAACTTACGCACCCCCGAGTTGTCTGCGGATGTCAAGAGGCTGACCCAACGACGAGATACTGGGCCTCATCTTGGTACTCCTGCATAATTATCATAGATACATGTGTGCTGTTGCAATCTCGAAAGGCTATCGAACCAATTGATAGCTGTACCTACACTGCTAGTCTAAGACTACCACGGACCCTACCAATAAACTATTCCTCAATATCTACAGAGTCAATTGACCAAGCTCACCCAACAGCCATCCACAAAGCTCCTCAAAACACCCTCCTGGAGATGATGGGACCCTCATCCCAACCCAACTAGCACTCTAACTACTAAAATCCCAAAACGGCAAGGAAACGCATGCACCACCTCCTTGGCACCCTCAAAAAAAATCTTTTCCATCCACCGCCCAAAGCTCACAGAAACCATGTCCGCCCGCCGCTCCATCTTCAACGCGCCCTCCTCCGACAACGGCGACGAAGCCGACGAAGACCAACTCCCCGAGCACCAGCCCTCAGACCTCAGCGCCTCCGACCCGGGCTCCGAGTCCGACCAGTCCCCCCTCTCCGACGACGACGAAGCTCCCTCCGAAGACGGCGAAGAAGACGACGAAGACCTCCCCGAAGACTCACAAAATGCCCACGCAGACAACGACCCCGACACCGACAGCGACCCGGACTCCTCCTACCGCTGGGGCACGCACCACGACACGCGCCGCACCGTGCAGCCCTTCTACGGCGTCATCGCCGCGCTCGACCGCGCGCACAACTCCTCCCTCTCCGCCCACCTCTACTCCGCGCACCTGATCAAGCGGCACAACCTCGCCGCGCCGCCCGCCACCCCCTCCGCCACCTCCACCTCCACCTCCGAGACCGAGCCCCCGCGCAAGAACCGCGCCTACTCGCCCACGCAGCTCGCGTCGGACACCCTGCTCCCGCGCTCAAAGCGCTTCATCACAAACAGCTGGACCTCCTGGCCGCACCCTGCGCACCACGTCCCGCGCGGCCCCGAGCACGAGCCCCACACGCTCAAGTCGCAGCCGCGGCGCTCCCACATCGACCCGTCAACCTACTCCGCGCCCGCCCCCACCACCACCGCCGCCGCCGCCGCGGAGACGGCACCAAGCAGCATGCTCGAGGAGGTGCTCACGGCCGTGTTCCTCCGCGCCGGCAAAGAGAAGCTGCTGGCGCGCGGGGAGGCCCTGACGCCAGTGCTGGACGAGGACGTGAGTAACCACCTGTTGAGGCCGGTGGTGCGCAGCGTTATCAGCCGCTTGGATGGGCTGCTGGTGGGGCTGCACCACGAGCGCTCATACACCAAGGCGCTTGTGGCCGAAGAGGCGGCGGCCGCCGTCGCCCACGCCCACGCGCTCGACGGCGCCGCCCCGCGGCGCAAGACCAGACCCTACAAGCGGCCCCCAGCGCGCAAGAAGAAGCGGTCCGTCACCTCCGCGGAGGCAGCACGGGAGCGGCACAGGGCCGTCACGCCCATGACCGACACCGAAGCCGAAGAAGAAGAAGAAGAAGAAGAAGAAGAAGAAGGGGGTGACTCACAGCCCGTTCGGAAGCGGAAGCGGGCGCCGTCACCGGTCGCGCGGAAGTGGGCGAGGAAGCGGATGATGCGGCTGCGGCTTCGGGATTGGAGCAATGTTGTTGGCGTTGCGGCGCTGACGGGGTTTGCGGGCGGTGTTGTGCAGCGGACGGCGGGGCGGTGCGGGGGGCTGTTTGGGGAGACGATGGGGTGGAGGTGCGTTGGGTGGGATGATCATCTGAGGGATCGAAGGGGTGGGGAGGAGTGGGTTGGTGCGAGGGTGGAGGCGAAGGGCGGGAGTGATAGGGGGGGTGGGGGGAGTAAGGAGGGGAGTGGGAGTGGGAGTGGGAGTGGGAGTGGGAGTGGAGGGGAGAGCGGGAGCGGGGGTGAGGGGAGCGAGGGGAGTGAGGAGCTGTATGAGGGCATCACGAGAGATGGGTTTTTGGCACCCGTGGCCAGGCCCGTGAGGAGGGATGTGGGCAGGAGGAGACCGAAGTTCAAATAAAGGTCGGAGGTCGATGGCTGGGGGGTTTTATAGCAGTAGGTATTGAGTAGGTAGTTGCCATTAGTTTTAGTCTTAATAAATCATGAGCTTTGCACGTATAGCATGTTCAAGTAAATACACTGAAACAGTTCTCTCTAGAAAAACAACGAAACACCGCCCCTGCAATGATCGCAACGACCGTGAAACCAATATCACGTCACAATATATCACTCGATCACGTGCACCCCAACCTTCTCGACGATCCCTCCTCATTGTCGCCTAATCCGCCACGCGCAGGAAAGAAAGACACGCAAAAGCAACCCGAGAACAACTCACTGCTTGAACTACGTGTATGCAGCCATCACCTCCCCCACAGCGCGCACCATTTCCAAACCCGATCCGTCATCGCTAGGCCGAATTAGAATCGGCGCCCAACACCGCCCCAATCGATCGTGACGGGGAAGCAAAGCCCCAATATCGGGTATTGCTTGACAAAGACTACGCACAGATCTTACAGTGCTGTACGTGTAGGAGGAAGGTACGATTGCCGATCTCGGGATTTGGGGTAGCGGATCCGGGCTGACGGTACGGGTTAAGCTGAGGGTGCAGATGTGCTGACGCGATGTCTGGGAAAATCCCCTCCCGCTCCCGCTCTTGCCTCTAGATGTGTATATAAGAACGATGAGCTTCTCTTAATACACACATATATTACTGCACGCTACATGCAGCTCTTGCGCCGGTCTTCTGTTGCCAACCACCCTACGTACCAGCACGTCCACTATCACCAATGCCCGGTCCAGATCCCGCCTACACAAATACCAGCAGTAGATCCATCACCAAAATCCTCAAAACTTAGCCTTTATGACGGCCGTGATGGGGCCGGTATAGAGGAGGGAAAGTTGCGTTGTGGGCCTGAGTTGCGGCAAACGCGGGGGTGGATCACCGTAGATCACTCGATGGCCATGGTGGTAGGAACCGGCATGTTTCGTAGCAAAAACTAACATTTTAAAAGGATTTTTATAATTTAGCGCTACTTAATAACGTGGGAGCGCGAATACGAGCTTAGCCTCGTTTGGCCCCCCCCCCCAAAGCTACATATCTGTGGAGGAGATGTGAGCCCATGGCCAGTGAGGTTAAGGCTCGGATGACACTCGCTATGGCCTGCACGGACACATCCTGGGGATGGCTTTCCGTGTAGGAGAAGTCGTTGCTGAAATGATGACAACGGGTTTCCACGAAGGAATGTTTGATGGCGCCGACCCACCCCCGGCCACATTAAGCACCCATTCTAAACGACAGGGAAACGGGCCATCTCATTCCCGCTCTGGGGAAGGACGGACAACGGAAGGTTGATAACCGTCTTGAGAGGTTGAGTGTCAGGACCCGAGAGTACTTACTAGAAGCTAGCGTGCTATGTAGAACAGATCCATACTTAGTCGACCCCTGTTACGTAAATGTAGGGCCTAAGGAGGAGAAGAAGGAGAAAAAAGAGGGAGAAGAAGAAGAGAAAGAGAGGCAACAGCAGAAACCGGGGAAGTGTATGTATCCCGCCGAGAACGGTTGCAGTTGTCAGCCACCATGCGTGGCATGCAGTCAAACTTAGGTGCGAAATGTATTGAACTGACCATTGCGTTATAGGCTGTCAAAAGCAAGTTTATTTACCCCACCACAACGCCATCGAGCTTGCGCTTGAGGAGGTTGCCATGTCAACTCACACTCGTTGCGGTCTGTTTGCAAGTGCGCGGTTGGACATCATCCATCACTCGATCTTGGCACGGGGTCTGAATGGAGAATCGAATCACACACGGGCCTACCAATCAAGTGATAATTAATCGCAGATCCTGAATGAATTGGTTTGTTTTTTAGAATAGAGATTGTTTGTTGTAGTTTGTGCTGCTGTGTAGTCCCGTGAGAAAAACTCTTAGTGAATGGGTGTAGTGTAGGCCTGGAGGTGCATGTACCATAGAAAGGTTTCCGTGTGGAAAAAAAAGGGGGGCGACAAGTGAGATTGTTTCATCTTCACTGTTCTGTTAATGCGCACCTTTCTCTCACACATGTCAACTTGTCAACCGTTGCAGCTTTCCACCTACCATCCCAACACCTCTTCCCTACTTCTACCCTTCCCATCCCTCTCACCTTCACACCTTCCCATCTTCTCACACCACTTCTCATCACCAACCAACCCCCACCATCTAGATTCATCCTAGATTTTCTGGAAAAATCTTTACTTTCTTCGATTACTTCCTTTGAACCAAACACTTTGAACTTCTCCACCATAACTGTTTGCTCTCCCGAGTTAAAGAAGCCGTCACTATGGGTTTCTCAGTCACCATCTCCAGAAAAGTCATAATCCCCCTCTTCACCCTCCTCGTGGTTTTTGTTGGTCTCATTATCAAAGAGAACCAAATTTCGGTATGGGGATCTATCGAATTGAGCATAATCTCATTTTTCGCATTTCTCATCTCTCTTTCTATGCTCTTTGACGATGCCGCAAAACCTGCCGAGAACCAATTTGATGAAAACGTCAAAATAATCAACCAGGAAGATGGACCTAAGGCTGTTCTTGAAGCCACTCCTGGGGACGTTTCTAGAGCTGTGCCAAAGGAAACAGAGCTTCTATTGATTCCTCAATCACCGGTGCTCATGCCGAGTGTCCTCAGCCCTATCATTGGGTGCTGGAAATTAGAGGACAAGGCAAGGGCCGAGCTCGAAGAAAAGACAGCAGCTGCAGCAGAGGCTAAAAGGCTTAAAAATCAGCGGAAAAATAAGGCTCGAAAGGAGAAAAGGATTTTGGAAAAGCAATCAACCAGCGAGAGCCAGTCCAGCGACGAGGACCAGTCCAGCGGCGAGGACACGCCCAACGACGGGAATCAGCTCGTTGTATATGGGAACATTTTAAGTGATAATGAGCTTAATGTAAGTTTTCCCATCTCTAGATTATTCTTTTGGACCAAACTGACGTTTTACTAGCTTAATTCAGTGCTTCCGAATAGGCACAAAAATGATGACGAAGGTTTATCATCCAGTGCGGAGCTGAAAATCCTTTATAAATATTTGGTGAGCGGAGACAACGCATTGAAATCACATGTTGGACCAAACTAACTTTTGAGCAGGCAAGTATAGAGGGTGATAATGATGCCGCATTTATCAGAAAGACCCGGTTTGCTATCGGGAGATTCATGAAAATGCTACGTGGAGCAGAATTAGTAAGCCAATCATTCAATTGAACTATAAGACAAATATTTGAACAAACCTAATATTTTGCGTAGAAGGACTCAGAAATTGTCAGAGATGAGGAAATAAAAGCTCACGTTGTTGAGACTAAGCCGAGCCTCCGATTGAGATCAATAATCGAGTGGAAAGGTCCAAAAGATGCCATGAAACGTATGAAAAAATGTTTACCCACAGATCCGAAAGTTGGTTCTGGGTTCATGGAAAAGGAGTACCAAATGGGAGAATTGGTAAGTCATTCACTTTCCTCAAATCAAAATACCTATGCGTTACATTTTTGGGGATCCCTTACTTACGCATAGTGATATATGAGTAGAAGGCTGTATCCACCACCTTGAAATTCAAAACCCTAACCAAGGATGATAACACTTCCGAAAGGATCTCTCAAGCGCCCGTTAAAACTTCCCAATTCACTGTTGAGTCCATTGAAAAGCCTGATCAGAAGGACACCGAGCAGGAAGAGTTTAAGGAGGAGATCGAGACAAGCCAAGCGCCCCGCAAACCGTCTACAGAGGCTGTGGCACCAGTTCCAGATGAAGAAATAAAAGAGACCACTACGATTACAGCACCAACTCCTGTTGTCAATGATGTCAAAGAGATTGGGAAACTCGAGAAGCTTTTCCCGCCGGTCGTCCCAAGTGAAACCAAAGTGGTCAAGACTCGGGCTGTAGCGACGCCGAGGATCCCGGAGACAAGAGCAGACAAGATAAAAGCGTGGTTAGCAAAGAACGGACAGCCTGAATCCATCAAGGTCACCGAGTCTACTGTCCCCCTGCTTATTCCTGATGGAGCCAAAAAATCTCAGGTCGATGAGATTGTATCGACGGATACAACTCAGACAATCGATCAGGAACCAACCAAAGCAGCGATAAAATCTGTAGAGGCAGTTGTGGTACCAGCCCCTGTAGTCTCTGCAACTAAAAAGGCCGAGGAGCTTGAAATTCTGCCACCCAAAGAGGCCGAGGAGCTTGAAATTCTGCCACCCAAGGTTCTGGAAAGCGAGAGCATCCCAGACCTCAATGAGCTTGAGGCATCTGGGATCGAGACACCAACTATTGCTGATGAACTTTTAACGGCCCTAATCGAACTCGACGGCGCATCTTCAACTGAGGTTATGATCCCATCAACCGCCAAGTCGCTAACTGTTGCTGATGAACCTTTAACGGCCCTATTCGAACTCGAGGGTGTATCTTCAACTGAGGGTACGATTCAATCAACCGTCGAGCAAGGTCAATTGAAAGAACAAGATGAGGTTTACTTCGGGGAATGTGATCATCTCGCCCAGGAACTCGAGGAATTGCTCTGGCCAAGTGCGCCTGAGCCGAACCTCCGGTCCGAAGGTTCATTCCAGGTGCAGGAAGAGCCTCAAGTTTCTGGCGAAGTTCCTCCTACTGGCCTTGAAGTCCCTCAGATTACCGTTATATCTGCTATTCAGGGACCTCTCGAACCCGAGAATATCCAGGAATACACAGGGATAATTGCCCCCGTAGTTGAACTGACTGCAGATGAGGCTGTTCTTATTGATACGATGATGAGGATTAACATCGACCTGGAGAGCAATATTACAGAGGGCATGGATACTCAAGGTCAACTTGAATCTTCCTCTAGCCAGGCCCAGGAGACAGAGGAGTTACCCACGGCCAGGGATTGTCAGACTTGTGGGGATGATCTCTTGGAATTTCTAAAGAACTTTGACGATAGCTCCTTAGGAGTCGTCTCTTATAATGACCTGGAGCCTACCGCTGCGCCTAACGAGGCCCTAGAGTCCTTAATCGATATGGAAGAGACTACTCGCCCGCTTGACACAAATTTTGATCTAAACTATCGTTGTGATGAGGATATAGACATCGACGCTATCTTCAACGAGATACCTAACCAGGACGACCTATTGCCTGAAGACCAGATGAGTGTTTGCCAACTCGCAAATATCGATACGAATAGCCAAACAGATGTTGCAGATCAGACAATGACTGAAGTGATGTCTTCTGAGCATATTCCGACTATCGATGGAATGGAAATCGACCAAATCGTGTTCAGCGAAGATGACCTGTATCGACAGGCAATATTAGCAGCAGGCATCGATGAGAGCTTCTTGTTTAACCAGACCCAAATGGTACCAGAAGCTACCGTAGCTATCCCAGTGAATAACGAATTCCAGGGCCAACAGAACGGGGCCGACAATGAATCCCAATTCGAGATGACACAGGAGAACTTTATTTCCCAGTTGGATATCAGCCTTAGCGCATCACATTCTATCGAGCAATTTGCTCCAATATCCACAGAATCTAGTACTTTTGTCCCCCAGCCAACTATCGAGCAAGTATCGTACCAGGAAACTGTCCTTCCCGAACTGAGTACCGAGAAATCCGCTCTATTCTTATTAGAACCAACCCAGGAAGCCTATACCCCCCAGTCTTATACCGAGAAGCCTGCTCCAATGGCCGTATCACAGGAGGTTTTTAACCCCCAGTTGGTGGCTGAGCAGCAGTCTACTCCAGTTGAGTTGGCGCAACCAGTAGAGTTGGCGCAACCAGTAGAGTTGGCGCAACCAGTAGAGTTGGCGCAACCAGTAGAGTTGGCGCAACCAGTAGAGTTGGCGCAACAAACCTCTATCCCCCAGTTAGAGATTGGACAGATTTCTCCAAAACTGACAGAGAAAACTCTTGTCTCAGAACCGCCTACTTCTGTGGAGTTGTTTCAGGGAACCATTATTCCCCATTTGCCTGTTGATCAGCCTATTTCGCTGGTCACAATACAGGAACCTAGCCTCCAGATAACTATTAAGCAGTCGGTTTCCGAGTTCGATATCGAGCAGTCACCCCCAACGGTGCCGCTAGAGGATACACCACAATTAACAAAAGAATCTCAAATTTCCCAGGCCGCCATCCCACACCCTACCATTAGCACTGTTAACCCGTCTTCGACCACTATCGATGTAACGAAGCTCGATATTCCTCAAAAATCCATTGGATCCGTCATAAACACTCTTCCTCTCATTTTCGCACTCCAAGTTACTGAAAAGATCAGCAATAAAAGATGTATTGAATTTGATGATGATGACGATGAGGATGATGAGGACGAGGATACCCAAGCTAATATGGAGGTAATGATGATCACCAAGCGACCTGTTATTCCACTCCGCAAGAAGGCACTTGAAACAACCATGGAAATAGTGGCCCCAGTAGTAGAGATGCCAAAGAAGCCGAAGAGTACAACTGGCATCAGGATCATCATGACGGCACCAACCCAATCCGACAAGGAAATTGCCCTCAAGAAGGTCAGTAGTACCAATTCCACATCCGCTAACATAACTCTTTACTGACCCGTATCAACAGCGTGCCAAAAAAGAGGTAGCCCCTGAGCCCGAGGAGCTCAAAGCCGAACCCAACTATGACAGTGCCAAGGTCAACATGCAACAGCAGCTCAACAAGACCACGACCAAGCTTCAAGCTATAACGATGGAAAAATCGGTTGCTTCCGCTAGACAGAGGGGGATGGAGATTGATGATAACGGTTTTTTCCAGTTGGGGTCGGCAAAGAATAAGCCACGTCGGAGATATTGATGGTGGGTGGTTTGGGTTGATTGCTGTACGCGTATCTTTTTATAGTGTTTTAAGAGAAGAAGATTGAGTATCACTTTATGTTATAGTTAGTCTCTAGCCATACATTTATATGATTGATACAAATTACTCTAAACTTTCCGTGCTCTCCTATAGTGTGAGGCATGATTACAATCGATTAGGTTTTCCGCCTCTAATCAAGTCAACTCACGCTTTCGGACCCATCAACTGATAGTTATGATTAATTAATGGCATAAACTCATACCTATTCGATTATTCTGATTGTTTACAGGATGATATTTCAGGCCTTAGAAACCGAATTTCTTCCCAAAATTGGTCTTTCTTTAAGATCATTGGAGGACAGATGATTATTTCCGCTGTTATTTTTCCTGGTTTTACTGTCTCCTTATACTCATGATTTAATCGATTTATTGCGAAAGACTAATCATGATTATGATTCGAAATGTCACCCCTAACCGAGTCTAATCAAATTATATACTCGATTTTTATACTCGACTATAGTCGACTCATGCCGCACACTACTCTCCTAAGCCTTCCAAACTATACCTGGGAATGCCCATAGTATCGGCGCTATCATCGGAAGCCATTACCAACGGATCATACCGCGAGTGATATTGTATGATCCGGGTAGGGTGTTGCCAATTCGGGGTTCGCAAACTAGATCTACATGTAGCTCCCAATAAACCTTGGATTCTTCCTGCTCTGGTCGTGGAGCGTTGGAAAAGATTGAAAAGTTGGGGTCATCGTATTAGTTACATGTATCTACCCCGTGCCCCGCCTTCCGCGAAACTATCTTTGAAGTATGCTACGTGGCCTGGTTGATTTAATTTTCATGTAGTGGTAGTGCCCTCCACGTGGCCAAATCTCTTATCTAGTCTCGTGAAAGGCAGCTTTGTCTGTAGCTGTCCTGTGCCAAGACAGCGAGTGACGAGCCGTGCGCCAAGCTATGTACATGTAGTCTAGCAACATCCCCGCCAAACCTGTTCTTTCATTTTGTTTACATGTACACTGGGCTTTGGATTCTTAAGCCGGGTCCTTTGCGGTGGACAAGTTGGCGAGACGTATCAGTTATTGGAGAACACTACGCGATGGCACTACCCGTTGGGATAAAACATTTTATGAGGTTGCGCAACCGCACTACCCGCTGATCAAGTTTACAGACGAGGTTTGGATATTTTCACTGTTTTACGTTTCCCACCTATGTGGCGCGATGGAAAGCATAACCACCATCAGAAGCTCAAGAATGTTTGAAACGTAAAGCTCATTGCATTTTCCCTCAGATACATCAATAACCAATTCAACACTCAATGCTGAAGCATACATTCAACTTTGCTTACATCACTATCATTTATCATAAGCTGAAAGAAAGAAAAAAATCCTCTAAGCTCTGTACGCGTTGTACTGTTGCAGCATTCTAGTGGCCTGTCCAGGTGTGAATTCGTACATGCAGACATCGGTAGACTGCATGAATGAATGTGTAAGTAAAAGGTCCCCAAAGATTATACAATAGGTATGATAACTTACGTAGTCCATGTAGTTGTGGATGGGATCGACACCGGGGTACGAAGAACCTGTGCAAGTGTCCTTGGAGGTCGGGCATCCACTTGTAGCAGAAGCTTCAGCAGCGGTGTCGGAGACAGAGTCACCGCCAGAGCATCCGCCCTGGAAAGTGTGGTAAAGACCTACATGTAGACCACACACAAACAGTCAGTGGATCTTATGTTCGTACAGACCATTACAAGAAAAGTATCAATCAACTTACCAAACCAATGTCCAATTTCGTGGGTAGCGGTACGTCCCAAATCATAACCAGTGGCACTTCCTCCCGGAACAGAAGTAGACAAGATGGAGCAGCCATCATACAAGAGGGAACTGGAGGTCTCGGTCTCGGGGAAGTAGCAGTACCCGAGAAGACCATCTCCTAGGTTCTGGAAGTAGACATTGAGAGTCTTGTAATCTCCCTTGCGAAGAGACTGCTTCATCGCGGCCTCGTTCTGGTCATTGTACCAGCCAGAGTTGGTTGTGCGGGTTATCCCCAGAAGGTTGAACTGGAAGCCAGTAGAAGCGTAATCCTCGTTCAAGACATTCAACTATACAGCAAATAAAGAATTAAACACCATTAAAATTTGGCCCAAATGCAATACATACCTGCTCCTGGAGCACAGAATCAGGGATGTTTCCCTGGGACACGCTGGTGCCGGATCTCAGAACATGGAAGTAGGTCGGAATCGTGATGACCGCAGCAGTTGAGAATGAGTCTGGACTTTCCAACGCCTCAATAGCCATCTGTGCGCTGACCTGGAGCTGCTCCTTGGTTGGCTCCGGGGTACCGCACTTACGTGCGGACACCACCGCGAGCAGAGAAAAAACGACTGAGAATCCGAATTTCATTTTAGAGTACTATAGACAGATCGAATGGCAGAGACTGGATGAGATGCTTGAGCTGTGGATGCGGTACATAGAACTGGAGGAGCTTCAGTATTTATACGGTTTTGTATCTGAGGTTTGGTGAATCCCACATGCCGAATCTAGTTTGAAGTGGAGAAAACTTATTACCTCCAGTACCATCATCGACAAGCATGATACCTGCCAGGGACAATAAGAAGCGGAATAGACCGATTAGTTTGGTACCATCTCTATCGTACCCCACGATATCATGGAACGGTTGGCGGAAGGTGTAGTAGGCGTAGTAGGTGCGGTCAAAGTAAGGTAGCGGCGAGACCCATCAAAAACCCTTCCAAACCGATCAAAGAAAGGGAACTCTTTCGGATGAGGCCGTTATCATCTGAAAGTTTGTTCTCACCAATCCGGAAGGTTGGGTCCTGGTGAACATCCCGTTGCAGAGGCTTCCTTTTGGTGTGGCACCTAGCAATAAACCTGGATACATGTACCTGCTAAGCTGCAGGGGCGATAATTCTTCTTGGGCTACGATCCAAAATTTGACATGCATAACCCGGAGAACCTGAGATGTTTGAGATATCATATTTGTATTCACGATCGGCCTGCACTCCGAAACGGGCTCAATACCAGCACCGGCGATACTTGGCCACTCTAACCATTTCAGTATATATAGTAAATTCTCATAAACTGAGGACAAGCTCTCACGTCATCTGGTTGTTAAATTTATAAAGTGCCGAAAGTGAATATGAAGATTTTGGGCAATACTAACTTAAAAGCTCAAAACTAAAGATCTCCCAAATTACCTATATCTCCTGAGGGCTAGAGGAGTAGCGAAGTCTTCATGATCATACGTATATACATGTAGGTACATATAGTTAATTACCATCTAAATAAATTATCTAGAGTATCCGCGCTTGGACCGGCTAGCAATCTGATCTGTCTATCCGGAACCAAGCTTTGAAAACTATGCACGAGACCACAGCTGCACTAGTAGGTTCTCTTCGGGGGGATTCCTTGAGGGAAGACCCAATAAATCGCTCTATCTCATGATCTGTCTGGATAAGCGTTTATTGGCTCTGCCCCACACACGGCGTTCCTAGGGGAGAATGTACCACCTGCGGTAACTGTTAAAGATCCTCCAGTGTTAGCTAGTGCTATACTCTATCACCCAATTGTAATAACTCTACGCACATGTGGTGATAGCTTACATGTACCATTGATCGAGCTTGAGGAGGCTTGCAATTGCTTACTTGGTCATTATTTTTACTATAATAAATACGGCGACCGCAAGATATTGCAAGCGCTTACCTACCGGCCCTCTCAAGTACATGTAGTTAGTACATGTAGTTAGGTATCAACGGCCCTTAATCTATTTACCTGCCAAAAAATGTCCTCGGTCCCGGCCGAGGTGTGCTTAATGTATGTATGTACCTTCCCCGCAAACGGTTCCCTGCCCAACTCTATCTCAAGAAGGTTGCGTTTTGGGTGTGATAAACTACGCCACAACTCAATCTAATTTGATTAGAGGTGTTCAACGGTCAACCAATCCCGTCCTTCATCCCTGGGATCGGCAGTGGCTTGTATGATTCAATGACGCACGACCTAGGCCACACAACTCTAAGGTCTTACTTCTTTGGGGATAGCCAAGCAGACTACACATCTACACAGCTTCCAAACTTACCTCGTCATTACCTGTATCCAGTGGCTTTCATAAGTTGGATTAATCCCTGCAGAACTCAATATATTATGCTCGTTCTTTGGCGGATACAGTTGGTCAAGTGAATGAGATAGGAACCCATAAAATCTTTGTATACTGATAAGATGAATTTCCCGCACCGGCTCAGACCCCAACATTAACGGTTATCAACCTTGTCTATGAAGATCTGTTAAATTTGGTTATTTAATTTTGGAACTAGGTTTATGCGATAGCCGTGTATTGCAAAAAGCCTATAGCTGGGTTCACCAGTACACTATGTATACTCGAGGCCCAAGATGTTCATGTTTGCCTAGCTTTGGCCTTACACCGCGGGAAGTCTTAGATATCGAAACTAGAAATACTAGCGCGTATGTACACCCGCAGGAAAAAAAGTGAATGTGCTTTCGACCAGACCGCGGCTATGGCGGCGGATCATGGCGTGGAAGAGTGATCACGATTCGCTTCGCTTCCCCCCCCTCCGTGTGGTATGTAGGGCTTAGGGTGCGCAGTACTAGTACTCGAACCTTTAGTACTAGTTAGCGGGTGCGGTCACAAACCATCACCCGCACGCACCCACAAAGTGCTACCTTTGGCCGCCTGCCTACTACCTTTGGCCGCCTACCTATTAGTATAAAAGGGTCTATTTTTGTATGTAGTAATATCAAGTAAGTTGTACGCGAAAACTACATCCGCTTTGACCGGAGGTCGCGTGACGTTTGTTTTGTGATTGCAATCTTTGGTAACGGCTTAGGATCTCGTTTCCATTTTAATATATCACAGTGCGGAGTGTGCTAGCAATGGAGACATGGTCACAGTATACTGTATACACGCGTATGGTCAGGACATGCTCGGCTCCCCCCGTTTCATGATGTTCTTCCCCATTAACCCCAACCATATAACCCCCTTTAGTATGGTAATGAAGAAACCAAAGAGAGGAAAGAGATCAAGGACGAGGACGAGAACTAGAATCGAATCGAGAAAAATTGTGAAGTGAAATTGGTGAAGCGTAACGATCTAACTCTCGGTCCGTCTAAGTAGCTCTCCTTAAATCACCCCTACCCATAACCATTCCTGAGACAGCGACACACTTCTTACACAAAAACAGCATCCAATATATTGTAAACACCTTGCACCTTCTTCCATCTCAGTGGGGATTTTGCTAAGGGCAACCTCACGGACTGCAAGCTGCGGGATTGTTTTGAAGTATGCGACCGCGGCCGGTTGATATTCTCACACACCAGATGATTCTTTCTATCCAAGCCCCGATGTTCGACGACCGCAAGGTCTGTCCCCCGCCGAGCATCGAGGCACACGAGTGCATGGCCTTGTGCCGTCATGACTTTCATCAAGGTCAAGCCGCTGAGTAACAAGGTTCGCGTATTCAGGGGCCGGTCGATGGAGAAGCCAGAGCCGTCTTCTGATTTACGCTGAAATACCGAATTGTAGGGTCCCCGAGTATTCAGAATCGTCCCGCGCTCATCGTGGAGGAGCTTGGCCATGATGAGTTGATCATTGATTCCCGTAACGCTCTGCAGTTCTGAGACACTTCGGCACTTGACCCGACATAGGAGAAAGTCCCTCCACGACCAGTTTTCGACCTGAATGCTTTTGCAAACCAGAACGACGAAGGCTGCCAGGAGCCACGCGTATGTCGTGATGCTGAAAGGATCCACCCCTGTTAGGCGATCGCCAACAGAGAAGCCTATGGCCAGGCCACCTAAAACCAAGGTTGTTGCTGCAGCGATGACACTCCAGACATAGAGCCCGCAATTGACGATCACAGAGCTTTCATCATAGACCCACTCGTCCATTTCTTCTGTGAGCTGTCGCAACCGATTTCCTACGCGTTCTTTCTCGATATTGGGCGATGAGGCGCCAGTCTGAGAAATGAGACTGCTTCTGGAGAAAAGACCACTCTGTACCGCTTGCGATAATCGAAGAACATCTCGACGTCGACTAGTACTATCGAATTCGTTGGTGAACATGCGAAAGAATGCGTCGAATTTGCTCTCTGTATAAGGACGGACGTCATCATCAACATCCCCAGTAAGGGTAACCAAAATTCTGAAGCTATTGAGATTCGCTACAATCACTGGACTCGTCGCCGCCAGTGGTACCATCACGGTAATGATGTCTTCCATGCTATAGAGAATCAATTCATGTTTGTATGACCTTGAGAAGTCAGATGGATCTGTATCTGGCCACTCCGGGCCTCCGTTACCAGGGCTTGGGCTATCCTGCTCTTCGGAATATTCCCACTCAATCATAGTGCATAGAGCGCCTGTGCCTGAGTTTGGTGGGGGGCCCTCTTGAGAGATCCGCTTGTGTTTCTGGAGGTTCAGAACGGTCTGGTTCAGAATTTTAAATGCCGAGTGTGCGACGTTGAGATTATCGAGGTCTGATGTGGCCGTAAATTCGTAGTCTCGGTCTTGAAAAAGAAGTGCCTACATGAGCTTCGTTAGATGTCTGCTATCTATCGTACAAATGTAGTTACGGGAGGCACGTACCTTGAACCCTTCAAACCCCGTCTCATAGACTACCGCGCAGACTTCGTAAGAAGTCATAGGAAGCCCCGAGCGTTTCAGATATTGCAAAGACATGAAGATGTAATTCAGAATGGCCATAGGTCCTGACCGAAACTTTGACTGATGGGCGCAATGCAACGTTACAGCAGGGTCTTCAGTGGATGCCTTGCCTTCTTTCGTATTTTTGTTTAGAAGCGTTTCTTCGCAATCCTCCTCCTCCTCATCATCATCATCGGCAGCTGGCTGGCCCGACTCCTCCAGTGCAGATTCCGCATTCATCATCGAAATAGAAGCATTGTTGCCCAGCGTCAGTAACAGCACTTTGACCTTTGTCGTCAGTTTTGCAAGCACTCCCACCAAGTTAGTGTGCCAATAGTCCCCACTCCCTGATTGAGTAACCAGTCTTACCAAGACTGCAGTCACATAATCGACCAGAATATAGCACGCATTTATGTAACCCTCTTCGTCAGAATACTTGGTCGAATCGGGTTCAAGCTCGTTCTGCGCACTGGCGGCCTGGCCGGAACGAACTACCCTCAGGCATTTTGCCACTTTCCCGTAGCTGGAAATGCCATATTTCAGGTCAATGGCCTCGTTATCGAGTTTGGTAATAGATACTGCCTTCATGATCATACGGGATAGCGAGGAAAGCTTTTTGTATCCGTCCTGAGAGCCTTCTTCGAGAATTTCCTGATTAGAGAATCTCAGCTCGCCTTCGGGATTTTCCACGATCGCTACGAGACGGGCAATCTCCCGCTTCAGGAGTTCTTTTGTAGTGTCCTCGCTAATAAAATAGGCATTCAGATCATCATACTCTGGAAAAGCGGCGCTGCTAGGGAGGTCTGTCAGAGAGGCGATCGATTTGTCGTGGGCACAGGCGGCTTGGAAAATCTTATTGGGGTCTATGTTAATCTTGACACCTCGTTGAGCTGGAATTCCTTCTTCCTGCAGTCGTTCAACCGATGCTATCGCTGGGCTTAGCTGAGTTGGGTGCGGTCGCGTTCTACGCGTGTGGTTTCGGAAGAAGCGCTTTGCCCTGGCTTCGGCAGATGGAAGCGTGGGACTACGCTGAAGGATAGGAGAGAAAGATGCAGCCGTAGCAGGACCCTGTATCGGGTTCGAGAGATCCTGAGCGAGGAGATTCGGTTGATTTAATCGACTTTCAACGTTTTGGGGCGGGTCCAATGTCGATGTCAATGTCGGTGTAGTAATCTCTCTGACGGAATTCGCTGCCATTATGACTACAACGTCTCTAGACTTGATAAGTAAATGATTTAAGCGCTTTTTGAAGACGGATTACCTGGATGCGTTCAATGTAAACTTTGTTTGGAAAACGTGAAGTATTCGATTTAGGTGCGACAATATCATCCAACTTCAGGGCCAGTACCTTAGTTTTAAGGATAGATATAGTGAAGAGATCCAGTCCCGTTATGAGACACCGTATAGCTTATTCCTGCAAAGTCTCACATCACCACAGCAGTGTTGTGTGGGGAGTATCTGTGTATTGTCCTCTGGTCGATGCTTCAGTTTCAACTTCCAACAAGGCTCGCATATTTGCTCACAAGGCTGTGGGACTGGCAAACGATCGACAGCACACAACAGTGAATGATAAAAGTCCGGTTGACTTCAAATGGGTGAAGGACAAGATATATGGTTGGTTGGCTTCAAATGTACGTGGGCAGCGCTGCGCAATTGTGTGCGGCATGGGTGCTGCGCAATTGTGTGCGTGCTGCGGAATTGGCGCAAAACATCTATGGCCAGAGCTCCGGCGCCGCAGCTGAGACTGCCAGCAAGGCTTTAGGCAGTGCGTCTACACGATAAAATTTATGGTAGAATTCAAATGCACGCACCTGTGCTCATGAATGAGCTCTGGCGCCGTAGCTGAGACTGCCAGCAAGGCGTTAGGCAGTGCCCTCTACACGAGCTGTCCGAATCGAGTACGTACCATGCTTATTCGAACTCCGCCAATATTGATGTGTTTTGCTGTTTAAAATGTTCGAGCCATAACTTCCACTGTCATCAGTGGCTTTTCCACACAATCAGTATCAGATATAGGTTGAAGAGAATATTGAGCTCGCGGTCCTGAATTGAACTTCACTACCTCGCCCGCCTCTTCGAAACTTTTCTACGACAGTTATTTCACTGCTGGCCAATCATGACGCAAACCATGATAACTACGAACGCTTCCTGTCAGCTCAAGGAGTATAAACGGATCTTAGAAGCTGGGCCTGCTTCTGATCCCACGATGCCCGATATAAATCGGTTGCAGCCAGTCCCCGAAAGCACAGACGACACGAAACGACCGCCCGGAGACGGGCCTGATCCTGATCCCATGATGCCCGATACAAATCGGTTGCAGCCAGTCCCCGAAAGCACAGACGACACGAAACGACCGCCCGGAGACGGGCCTGATCCTGATCCCACGATGCCCGATACAAAACGGTGGAAGTGGGACGATAGAGAGCGTTATGAGTCGAAGTTAAAGAGCATAGAAGCGGGATGCAATCAATACGAGCAGAAACTAATGGGTGGAATCGTTAATACCAGTAAGCCATGCTTAATTATAAGATGAATGTAGGTCCTATCAAAGTACTGACCTCGCCCAAGCAAATATTAGTCCGAATTACTCGGATATCCACATTAATCGTACCGTCATCGATCAGCTTGAACGTGTCACCGCTCTTGCGTTAAACAGACCTGACGCGTTCCAGTACGGCGTGCTTCGCAGAAATAAGGTTACAGGTGCGCTCCTCTACGGACCTCCAGGAACCGGAAAAACTCTTTTGGCGAGAGGATTGGCCAAGCAGTCCGGCTTTCTCATGCTTGAAGTCACTGGTGCCGATATTTTTCAGAAATGCTGGGGGGAACCTGAGAAATATATCAAAGCGGCCTTCACGCTGGCGCGCAAACTTTCCCCCTGCATACTCTTCATTGATGAAGCGGACGGAATTTTCGGCGCTCGCAAAAGCGGAGATAGAAAGCACCAACGCGGAATGCTCAACCAATTCCTGCTGGAGTGGGACGGCATGGGAAGCAGCATGGACTCTCCGTTCCTGTTATTGTCGACAAACCGTCCCTTCGACCTCGACCCTGCGGTGCTGCGCCGTGCGCCAGTGCACATCCACATTGATATCCCCACAGTCCACCAAAGGCAAGGGATTCTGCAACTTCTCCTCAAGCACGAGGACTTGGGGCCTGACATCAACCTCCCTATCCTTGCAAGACTGACGCCATCATACACGGGTTCCGATCTCAAGAATCTCTGTGTTACTGCTGCACTTGCTTGTGTCGAGACTGAAGTCCCTGATCCTGTCACCGGCGAGTACCCGTCACGAAGGACACTTCAAAGACGACATTTCAACTTCGCACTGAAATCGGTCAGGGCGACTACCTTGAACCCGAAACAGTTGTCCCAGCTCGATGCCTTTCATAGGAGAGCTGGGGGCTAAGGGAAGGTTCCATGCCGGATTGTGGTCTTGTGGGTTTTCCTTCGATCTCAGTTCTCTGTATCACTCATTCTTCATCTGAGCAAGTATTTATAGTTAAGGTTGCTACAACGGTGTGGTTATGTGTGGGATGGGTTGTTCCTTGAGAGATAATATCAGGAGAATTATAACGGGGGGGATCAAGTAACTTTCTACTAGGGTTAGCGCAGCACTCATTAGTAATTGACCCTTTTCTCTTTTAAGCTAAGTGGTACGGTGCCGGTCATTAAGGTTGGTATGCAATCAGTATCCGGCGGTGTTTGTGTCCACAGATATGTTCTGATCCAGTTGGCCAAGAGCTCGATCCACTTAACAAGTTCGAAGGGCTTGTATCTTTGAATAATAACTATGTTGTATTGATGATGAAGAGAAGCGAAGGTTAAGCCTCCTATTTAAGTACTTGCTACTAGTCTCGTGCCCAGACTTTTGTGCCGGAGCATCACACCACACTACAGCGAAAGCTTGCTATAACGGTACCTTCTATAAGGGTAATCTCTCTATAACGGTACCAAATTCCGGTCCCGAGCGTACCGTTATAGCAAGCTTTCGCTGTAACTTGCTATTAGCCACATTGCTATGGCCAGATATGCCAAGTAAGCTATTAGAGCTTCTCAAGTTACTGTCGTCCACGGGCCCGTATCGACTGATACCGGACCGTGTTGCCGGTCACATGACCAGAGGACACACAAAAAAGACATGTATGTAGCTATCAGACGTGACAGAGAACAAAATTGCAGAAGGAGATCAGTATTTATAGTGATAGAATAGGCGATCACTTGAATAGAATTATCATCCATCATTCTGATCCACTTTGAAGAACTCAGGCCGCAGTGTTGACAGACAAGGGCCATGGTGCTCCCCGTCTTAAAGGTAACAAAAAGTGACAAAAAGTCAATCGCTGATAACTTTACCACCAAAAAACACATTAGCCAAAAACGCGGTTCGCCAAGACGTGTTTTGAGCCAAAATCCTCGTCATTTACGCGAAAAGCCTCGTCTTTTGTCGTACTGTTTCGCCCGTCCGTCTTTTAACTAATAACCTCGTCTTTTGAACCCCCGTAGCTGCGTACGTCCGCTATCCCATGATGCAAGAAGCCCGTCTTTGGAATAACCATTTCCGATTCTCGTCTTTTACCAAATAAACCCGTCCGGACAAATGACCGTTGTAAATGACCGCTGCAAATGACTGCTGCAAATGACTACTGCAAATGAACCTGGGTTAATATCAACAAGTTCGCTCAACGTCACTACCAATATGATTTTTATTATGTTTATCCAATTATCTACACGTGAAATATCTCAAAGCTCATTGTTTACAACCAAATTTGTTTACAGCCAAATGGTGCCTCGTTATATCTAGGTCGTCAATCATCGCGGTAGTAACGCCAGGCCGACCCCTAGTCAGCAATTATTAAGTAGTAGGATTTTCCTTGGCCGCGTACATACATGGGTGTCGATCTAGCAAAAGGTACCTGTGTGGCAACGCAACGAGGTCTCACCAGTTCGCTACCGCACTGTACAGCCTCTAATTGATGGGACAAATAGTTGAAAAATTAATTATGGGCCCTCACCAAGGTTCTCTGAGCTTTAGGAAGATTGGAGTTTATCCGTTGTGCGGCCCTTCAGAATAAGGATTTGGCTGTGCGGACGGTTTTGCTAGATCAACACCCATGTAGTCTTCCTGAATCGCTGGTTCTCCTCACGGCGATCGCCGCAGACGCAGACTTTTCATGTAGTCAGACCTAGGTATCACCGGCTTGGAGAATAATAGCTTATATCAACGTCACCTCCTATCACGTACCAAAGCCAAACGAGCCCCTCCTCGCGTACCCAAACTTATAATGCCATCACCACTAGATAACGCACACGACTTCTCCCCTCTCTTGAAACCCTCACAATGGATCACATTATACGCTCTTACATCAGTAGTCTTTCAGGCTCTCGACCAAAAAGAGATTCAGTCTATTTTAGCTGAAGCCCCAGCTGAGGTTGACCCGCAATCTATCAAGGCCTTTGCAGCAAATGAGAGCAATTATTCAAACGTAGAGTTTCGGAAATATCTGGATTTTTTCCTAAGCACTAGGCTTCCACGAAAAACGGTCGATCAGTTTGCTGCGGTGCTAGATTTGCTCAAGTATTATTCTCCTTCCATGTCCTAGCTGTGTACAAATTACTGATCCATCAATCATAGTTCTGTTCCGGGGTGCGTTCTGTTGACGTACTCATCAACACTTTTCCACTTACAGTCCCTTGATAAACGGGAAGAGCTTATTCGTTTCTGGCTCAACCCTGCCTCGACTGTGCTATTCCCACCTATACGAGCATTTGCCAAAGCAATAGTCGCGATCACCAAGACTGTATGGTCTAGATCCATATCCAAAGATGTACTTTATGGTGCTCTTGGGCACAAAGCGAGAATCGGAAGGATAGCTGAAGAAATCTACTCTGACAAAGGAAATGAGAAATATCGACCATTCCATAAATTCGAATTCCTCAATTTTTCATCAAGCACAGGACAACAAGGTGTAAAAGATGTAAAAGAGATTGAATATGACGTAGTAATTGTCGGATCTGGCTGTGGTGGAGCTGTGGCAGCAGCGAGGTTAGCAAAAGAGGGATACAAAGTTGTGGTGGTAGAAAAGGGCATTTGGTATATTCGACATCTACTTTTAGGGTTTCTCACGCTGATGTGACCAAAAAAACAGGTATCCAACGGATCAACTTCCGTTGCCTGAGCTCCAAGCCCTTGAAGAGATATTCGAGGCAGGAATGACATTGACTTCCGATGATGGCAGTGTCGCCTTTGCTGCAGGTACTACTTTTGGGGGGGGCGGCATGGTTAATTGGGCGGCAAGTTTACAAGTACTGACCATAGAACTTCTCTAGAAGAAAATGGATACTGATATGAATTCTAGACTCAAGGTTACGTTAGGGAAGAATGGGCAATCAAAAATGGCCTACCGTTCTTTATGTCACAAGACTACCAGAAATGCATGGATTACGTCTGTAATCGTATGGGTGTCACTGATGAAATTGAGCATAACCATCGAAACAAAGTTATTCTCGAAGGTTCTCGAAAACTTGGTTGGAGAGCAATCACCATACCGCAGAACACTGGGGCTCTGTTGGATGGGGAGGTTAAGCAGCACAGAACTCATGATGACGGGTACTGTTGTTTTGGTTGTGGAGGGATGGAGGCAAGCGAAGGAAGAAAGATGGGGACGTAAGTTTCTGCAATTTTATTTGGATATTTTGAGAGGATGTCTCTTATGAGCCTGAAACATCGATACAGAACCCAAACATGGCTTCCAGACGCAGCAAAAGCCGGTGCCGAATTTATACAAGACTTTTACGTCGATAAAATCATCTTCTCGGACGAAAAGAAGACAAAAGCAATAGGCGTGGAGGGTAATTGGGGTGCTAAAGTTCAGGGAGGTAGAACGGTGAAAGTAATCATCAAAGCCAAAAAGGTTATTATCAGTAGCGGGAGCATACATTCTCCAGCCATCTTGATGAGGAGTGGGTTAACTGTAAGTAATTCCCTATGCAGAGTTCAGGGAATCTTTCTAACAATATTTTATAGAACCCGAATATTGGCAAAAATTTCCACGCCCATCCCGTCTGCCTCATGACTGGTTTCTTCCCTACCCCTACAAACCCTATGTCCGGCTCTATCCTGACAAGCGCTTGTACCGAGTTTGAAAATCTCGATGGCCTCGGACATGGCGTTAAGCTAGAAACCTCCGTTATGCCACCTGTGATATGGATGCGCACGTTCCCTTTCAATGATCACGTACAGCTCAAGAGGCATTTCTTGAACCACCATCGGGCAGGTTGTTTCCTGGCGTTACTCAAAGAAAAGGATCCAGGTAGAGTTTACTGTGATCCAACAACTGGACTGCCGCGAATTAGTTACACTCCCAGTGCAGATGATCGGGCGATGCTGTTAAAGGGCGTTGTTGCACTATCAAAGCTCTTGTTCATCGAAGGCGCAGAGGAAATTGTTCCTTACCACTCGGGAATGCCCACATTCAAACGACATCCTACTTCCGAAGAGCTTGCATTAGAGAAAGAAGAGGAAAATGAAGAGCTTGAAAAGGTACTCGAGATACTCTTTTGCAGCGATAGCCTACAAACACCTGTCGAAGAGGAGGAAAGAGAGTTTGACGACCCCGGTATCAACGACAAGCGGTTTCAACGGTGGCTTAAAAAGCTAGAAGATTATGGATTGCCATTGCCGCAATCTACTTTTATAAGCGCACATCAGATGGGGAGTTGCAGGATGGGGAGTGATGAAGTTGATTCCGTGGTCAATGATAAAGGCAAGGTATGGGGGTCAGAGGGGCTATTTCTGGCAGATTCGAGTGTTTTCCCCAGTGCAAGTGGAGTCAACCCGATGATTACTGTTATGGCCATAGCACACCATATTGCTGGAGAGATCGTAAAAGAACTGAGAGTCGAGAATGAGAAGCAATAATCTCGGTATCGCTAGTGAGTTCGGTTATAGCTGATTGATTCCTGGGGGTTGAGCAACATACATGTATACGAAATCTCCTGACTTTACGTACACGACATTTTTAACATATTTCGGTCAAGTTATAATATTATGTAGGCATGATTAAATTGATTGATTGGCTTATGAAAATAGCGGGAGGACCAAGACCATAAACGAAAGAAAAACTTTCTTGCGACTGGGAAAAGTTCTCAGTGATTAAACTTCTTCGTTTTAAAACGACAGGCCTCCTTTCACGCGATTTACAAACGTCAAGCATTTTTGTGCCAAGACTGGCGGTTGGGTCGGACGACTGATGTCATGTGATCCGAATCGCGCATAAAGAAAACGACCAAAGGCTGACTGACAAAAGGGACCAAGCTAATCTACGGCGGGTCCCGCGTGTCGCGGCAAAATTATGCACTAGGTCAGGGCGTTTTTTTACTTCGTTTACAAGACACGATCTACAGTCG